AGAGTCAGCAGGAGTATAGACCAAGTATATGGGCAGTTCTACTTCATCAGATACCTCACGTTAACATATCCTTTCATAGGATACATGATGACAGGTACATATAGTACAGGGGTATATTTTCTCTGTCCCCGTCTTCTTTATTTTAATTGTTTTTTTGCATTTTTCCCTTGATTTTATATTTAATTAATCATTCTTCACCCCCCTGCCCCCTCACCCTGGGACCCGAAACAAATTTAACAATTTATATTTCAAAACAAAAACAAGTAAATACGTTATAAAGCTTGAACAATTTTTCGAAATATGAAATGTAAAATATTATTTAGATTGTGGCAGAATTTACATTGTACATAAAACCTAATCACAACTACATTTGCATTAAATGATTTAATACATACATAATTTAAGAAAATTAGAAGAACACCAAGTTAAAGAAAAAGATATACAAACTCTATAAAGTAATTGAGTCGTTGCCACAAACTCTGATTTTCTAATACTTATATTGTTGCAACCCAATGTTGACGTAGACCTTAGATATTTCATACTATAAGTTCAGATAATTTAGGTTTACACCATCAGGTTGAAAATTTAATATTGTGGCAAAGACTCAATTACTTTTCATTTTTAATTCTGAAGCTAAACAAACAAAGATATATTAGGAGATTTTATTTTTTTTTTAAATAAATAAACTGAATGAGCCTGGAGGAGAAGTATAAAAATAAATATATTTATTGCCTTGATATAAAGCTTTGATTCATATTTATGATGACAGATATTTATGTTTATATACTTTAATAATGCATTTTACATGCTGTATCTTGTAAATTTTAATGTTTTCACCTTCTCCCCTTTTATTTGGAAGGAGTTATTATGAAAATCAAAGTGGCCATTTTGCAGCATAGCCATTATTTCTTCCTATTAATAACCATCTCGTTATTTTTCAAACTTCATACTTTTCAATAATGTCCGCGAAAAGAAAATTAAACAATGTTAATTTCATTTTTCACACAATATTGGATTTTAAAAAATATACTTTCTACTATGAATTAATTTTATGTCGAATGTCAAATTTGAACAGTGAACAATGAACATTGAACAATGTAGTGAACAGTGAACACTCTGAACACCAGTTTCTATTTAAAGAAAACAAAGACAGTCTGCTAGCTGAGAGCTACTGCTTCAATAAACATCTGTATTTTCAAGCAAAATATCTTTTTAACACATTTGTCAACATTGACTCTCCAGAATCCCCCCCCACTGCGAAACCCTTGATACCAAATAGGTTTATAAGCTTATCCTGACAAAGATGTTTTTGTAGAACACCAAACTAATTTTAAAAAAAGAGAAAAGAGAGAAACTCAATTTCCTGAAAAATCTTACATCAAAGAAGAAAGATTTTATCGAGGAACAAAAGCGTTTTAATGTTTCTTTTTTGTAACTGAACAGGGTGACCTATATTAAATGTCATTTTTGAAGTTTTTTCGAAATTCAAAGTTTTTGATTCAATGCATTGTTAGCAGTTAAGCCAATTTCTTTTACCTCGAAACTATTGAATTTTACAATTCTATTGTGCTTTTAACTTATCTAGTGCAAATGGGGGGGGGGGCTTGGTGGAAATGTGTACGCTTTGTGCCACCCTGTGCAAAGCTCCCGGAGAATAAACAAGCTTTATGAGAGAAAAGAGAGACAAATCTCGACAAGAAAACTAAATTAATAGAAGAAAGGAAAAACTTTTTATTTTCAGTTTTCGTCCTGAATCCGAACTATACCTGGAGAGTTTGGGAATTATTGGATCCGTCCCTGCTGCTTGGCTAATCTTCACCCTGATACTCCTTCTCATATACCTTCTCACACGCTGCTGTGATACTAAGAATAATAAGGTTAGCACCGGCCTTCAATATTTGTTTTTATTTAAATAATTTCTATTATAAACGACCAGGGACCGAATTTAATTAATTGAAGAGTTCGCTGAACTGCATACCGCTGACTTAAATCCTAATCAACCTCATGAATCTTTAACTTTGAATCAGTGATTCAAGATTTTAAGCGGCTGCAGGTAGTTCAGCCACCTAGCTCAAATTCGTTAAATTCATTCCTGGATTCCATGTTTCGGGGCAAGGTCCCAAGCGGAAAAATTTAAAGCAAAATATACATAAAAAAGTGTTGCTCTAATAATTCAAATATCAAATGTGTACTAGTTTCAGCCCTAGGGCCCTTGAAATAAAAAGAGAAATTTATGTACATGTTAAAACTTGAAGAAATGATTACGAGTTCTAATATGAGGATTATATTTTTGATTTAATTTAACAAATCAGATGTTCAAATCCATAAAACACTTTTCTTGCTTCTGCAGACCTATTCAAGATCGGAGTTCTTTTTCTATGATATAATCTGAATAATAGATATTTATAGCAAAGATTTGATAATAATAGAACTCGAAACCTTTTGTAACATTTCTGACGTAGGCCTGGTATTCGTTTCCTCTTTATCACACTTGACAGGGTGCAACATTAAAAAGACTTCGTTTTGCACCGTATCGCTTCCTTTATTTTAGGCTTTACGTTCAAGGAAAAAGATCTTTTTTGTTAAAAAAAATACGTAAATGATATTTGTAACACCATTTTTATCTAATCCTGGGACCTCACACTGAATTTTTTTAAAACTTTGAAGAGAAGACTATGATCTAATAACTCCCCACCTGATGTATGTCGTCGATCTTCAATATTTCAAACCATGAACCCTGATTAATCAAAGTCAAAATTTGAAATATTTAAACGTTGGGGGATTCAGCCCCCTGGATCAGTAAACTCTATGGTTTCTAGTCCCCAATGCTCATCTCCCTGGAAATAATTTTTAACCCTCCTTTGACCAATTCCAGTTTAGGCCCCTGGAAATATCAAAGTTTTACACCAACAGGTTGCAAATATATAAGGACGAGAAAATTAGATTTGATGCGAGTGCTCAAATTATAATTATCTGATATGTTTAGAAGCGTAAATCCCGCCCAGTGCGGTGTTGTCTCTCCTTCTTCTCCCTGGTTTGCTGTGCTGCTCTAGGAGCTGGGTTCTGGGGGAATCATGTTGTTCATGAGGAGTCACAGAAGTTTACTCAAGCTACAGATCATATGTCCAGGCTCATAGAACACGCTCAATCACAGGTATACAATTTACATTATATTTCTGGCAAAATAATAAACAAAAATTAGTAAAAATTACGAAATTGAGACATCTCAAATTTCTTAAATTCGCCATAATTTTTACTGAACTAACTTTGTTTAGCCAGGATGTAGATATTATTTCTCGAAATATTTTCGCTAGAAACTCAGTTACTCAACAGTAAATTAAAGGCAATTTTTTGTAAACAATTGAAACCGGGGCTCACAGAGATCAAATGTTTTGGGTGGCGTTAAACAATCGTATTTAATATTTTTTCTATTAACTTCGTTTCGAACTATAATTTTTGGAGCAATCCTATCTGCACCCCTTGTTTTACTTCGTGTAATTCATAATGTATAATCTAAATTTATCATATAGATTATAATTTTCTTTAAGAATTTAAACCTTCTTACCTATCGCAGCCTAAAAAAGACGATGTCTTCAATAACTAGCTCTCATTTGATGGTTATTTTCAATTCTGATGTCAAGTTGATTATTTCTCTTTTAATGTATTCCTTTTTTTTCTGAATGGCAAATCTGTTATTTAATTTTGTAAAAAAAAATTAACATTAATAATTTTTATGGAAACGTTGATTGTTTACAGAAAGGCTGGAATTTCACAAAACAAAGCATAAAGTCGAATTTAATAAGATTAAAGGGCCTGAAATAGCAATGCGAATATGTGCAAAATGTAACAAACTCCCCTCAGTTTATTTCTCAACCCAAACTTGTTTAGAAATCTCAGAATAATTTTCACATAAAACAAGCTCAGCTAAATTCCTAGAGGCTTACAGACTTAAAATTTGTTTTTTCCTTAGATTTGGGGAAAATAAGTCGAATTAATGTTACTTTTATAGAGAAACCGTAATTATTAATTATCAATTTTTAAATAATAATACGAGGATATTCACTATTTGGGATCAGGCACAGGTTTAAAGGGAACTGTTGAGAATCGTGCAGAAAATGGCATTTGAAAATACGTTCCCAGTCCCTTTAAAGGAAATGTTTTAATTATTACAATTTGGATACATTCCCAGTCCCTTTAATGGAAATGGTTTAATTATTACAAATTGGATACGTTCCCAGTCCCTTTAATGGAAATGTTTTAGTTATTACAAATTGGATACGTTCCCAGTCCCTTTAATGGAAATGTTTTAGTTATTACAAATTGGATATTTTCCCAGTCCCTTTAAAGGAAATGGTTTAATTATTACAAATTGGATAGATATTAAACATCCTGGTTCTTTGTTCTTTATAAATGCAATTAAATATCTGATTAATTTCTCTTCATTAATAAACTTTTTAATGAGTTTGTAATTACAATTTCTTGTTTTTTGGAACACGATATTTAGGTTTTAGAATTTACTTTATAAAGGATTAGACCAACACACCATAAACTCGAAATTTCATATACCTATATCGTAGACCTAAGAATTTTATCAACTGTGAATTTTTTTTAACAAACATGTTGCAAAGATATGGAATTAGAATATTAGACTTTGTAGCCTAGCAAGAGTTCACTGTTTCCTTCAAGTTACTAATCTCTATATTTCCTAGTAACACCGTTCACAATTGTATTGAACATATAACGACTCGACAAGACAACTTTTCAAATTTTTTTTTAACCAGAATATCCCTGAAAGAGATGGCAGAGTGGTGTATGTTGGAATTAAGTCTTTGCCCCAAACTCTTATTTTCTCAACCGTATATCTTTGCAACACAATTTCGTAGACCTTAGAAATTTCAAACTATGAACTCTGCTCGATCAAATAATATAAGTTTGAAATATCAACGATTCACACCCTCAAGTTACAAAGATATAGGGATTAGAAAATTTGAGTTTGTGACAACGACTCAATTCCTTTGGTAGTATGAGGATTTACCGGAAAATATGTCATTGTTTTTTGGATCTCCCTGTATTCTACCTTGACAAGTTTTTTATGTTTGAATTCAAAATCTAAACTGACATATTTATTTGTTTTCAGGCGAATAAGTTCAATGAGGTTCTCTCCCAACAGGTTCGGGGGAACTTAAACAAGCTCTACGACGGAACTTTCAAATCTGTATCCCAATATCAGGTAGGAGGGGCCGGGGGTCAGTTTCGGAGCCACTGTAATATACACAGTTCTCAACTTATGAAATATATTAGGTTGACCTTACAATCCAAAGCATATTTATTAGTAGGGGGTACAATTTCAAACCTGCAAAACACTGGTTTCCAGCTCATGTGCTGAAAGAGTATTTGGTAAAATCCTAAAAGAAAACATGATTTTTATAAAATGTATTGTTGAGATATTGTTTATTTTGAATTCTACCTTTTGATAGACGTTTATTTATTTTTCTGGTGTAACAGAAAATCCTTTAAAAGATATATTCTCCAGACTGTTTCCTTTGTCCCAAGTTATGTTGAGTTATGCTGAAGTATTGATAAGTTTTCCTCTCCAGGGAAGAACACAAAATAAGGTTTTAAACTCATGAATTTTAAAATCTTCTAAACATTTGTTACATTTGCAAAGTTCTGAAAGGAATTGATTTCTCTGAGGAAAGTTATATTTCAAGATTTAGAGTAGTTTTTTCTTTTCCACTTTCTCATACCTTACTCTTCCCACTTATTAAAGACATCCTTATCATTCTTATTCTCATTCTTAACATTATTGCTATAATTCTATTAGTAAGTTTTTAACCATATCCTTATAATTCTCATCCTTCTCATTATTATCTTTATATTATTCTTATTCTTATGATTATCAACATTATTATTATTCTCAGTTTTTATTCGTATCCTTCTAATTCTTCTAATTCTTGTTTTAATTTTAATAATTCTTGTTCTAATTCTAATAATTCTTATTCTCAACCTTTTCGTTCTTATTCTTATCAACGCTATTCTTAGTTTTTTTATCCTTATTATCGTTCTTATCATTCCTATTCTCATCCTTATTATTATTATAATCAATGCTTCTTATTCTTTTTCTTATTCTTATTATTCTTATCATTATTATTATATACTTTATAGTTTTATTCGTACATCCTTATAATTTTTATTCTCGTTCTATTATTCATATTCTTATTCTCATGTTATTCTTATTCTTCACCCCCTCCCCCATGATAAACTATATAGATAAATACTTGATCATGGTATTCACAACAAAAAAGTTTTGATCTCTAGTCCCCACTTTAGAGAAGGTTCAATATTACAGGCTTATTCTTTTTCTTATTCTTATTATTCTTATCATTATTATTATATACTTTATAGTTTTATTCGTACATCCTTATAATTTTTAGTCTCGTTCTATTATTCGTATTCTTATCCCCATGCTACTCTTATTCTCCCCCCCCTCCCCCCCCACCCCCCCTGTAATTCAAGTGTAATACAAGCATGTGCTCTTATACCACTATACTCCGATATGGTACAACTTTAGAATACAAGATGAGGTAGAGCTAGATACAAATTACGATTAGTTTAGGATTCTAAAGGTTTTCATTCACCTCATTTTTCTTCTTAAAACATCTTTATATAAAAGTAGTAATCTCTGTTAGTTTGTTTGTATGTCCGATCATAACTTATGAACCCTTAGACCGATTTGCTTCAAAATTTTAACTAGGGAACTCGGTAGAACCAAGAAAATGTTCTTAGCTTGGTTTAAAATTCTAGTTTGAGTGAGTGGACTTTTATAGAGAAAGTTTAGTTTCCAGGCTAAACTGGGTTCTCAAGATAGTACATTTATAAGAAATCTTGTTAAAGAAGATTCCGACATTTTCAAAAAAATGGTTTTTCATGAAAATTCTTGTAATTTATATTATTTTGTCTGCGGAAGATAAAATAGAAAATAATGGACACTTAACGAGAGCTCGTCTATTTTTAAGAATTTGAAAAATTCCAACCTTTTGTCTTTGATGGTTTGTAACACTGTTCCGGGGGAATTAGGGGAACTTCTGATGAGGAGTAATTCAATTTCTTATATAGACTTAATACATAGATAGAGTCATAGATCTATCTAGCATAGATATATACATAGGTATTTAGGTACATAGAGTCATAGATCTATCTAGAATAGATATATACATAGGTACATAGAGTCATAGATCTATCTAGAATAGATATATACATAGGTACACAGAGTCATAGAGTCATAGATCTATCTAGAATAGATATATACATTGATGCATAGAGTCAAAGATCTATCTAGAATAGATGTATACATTGGTGCATAGAGTCATAGATCTATCTAGAATAGATATATACATAGGTACATAGAGTTATAGAGTCATAGATCTATCTAGAATAGATATATACATAGGTACATGCAGAGTCATAGAGTCATAGATCTATCTTGAATAGATATATACATAGGTACATAAAGTCATAGAGTCATAGATCTATCTAGAATAGATATATACATAGGTACATAGAGTCAGAGTCATAGAATCATCTAGAATAGATTTAGATGGACTCAAGGATCTATCTAAAATAGATATGTACATAGGGCCAAGGATCTATGTAGTCTAGATAATATATGATATACTTAGAAGTATGCGAAATATTAGATGAACTTGATTTGATGTAAACTGTATCGTTCTTACTCTTTTAACTCTTTTATAAAAATAATCAAATATAGTTTTGAGAAAAATTCCAAGGAAAAAAACTACTAAAGATTTAGGTTTGAAAGATAAAGCTATTTTATACAAATTTCCCTTTTAACCTGAGTGTATTTTCTATTCCTTATATTGGGATTAGAGATTAGTCTCTTCTATTTTCAGCCTCCCCACCCCCTCCATCCTACCTAAATCCTCCCCCCCCCATTCTTCCTAAATATCCAATATTACTTCAGCAATATTGCTGAACCAGGCCGGGAAGGGGGGGGGGTAGGCAATATCCGACAAAATGGACGGAAAACAAGCATAAGTTTGGCAAATATTATTTAGACCCTGGGTCAAAGTTTGAATTGAAAGTTGGATAGAAGTTCAAAGCTTAGTAGAAAATGAAAACTCGCCACGAACTCTTATTTTCTAATCCTTAGATCTTTGCAATAGCCTGATATTGTAGACCTTTAATATTTCAAACTATGATAAAATCGTCGAAGTTTGAAATATGATAGACGACTGTACACAGTATTAACCAAGTTTTTATTCTTATCTTTTGCTAAAAACTTGTTTTTATCTTTATACGATCATTTAATAAACCTTCAAAAATCAAAAACAAGTCAAAATTCAATCTTAGGACCGTCATAAAGTCTAATCTAGTGTAGATAACTTCTCTATTTCTCTCTCTCTCCCCCCTCCCTCGGTTTCAGTAGAATCTGGATCCTAGATGAGATAAAAGAAAGGATGGATTCCTTGTTCTCCGAATAGGTTTGATAAGTGGGTGGGAGATATAGAATAAAGGGAAATGATAAATCGATATTAGATATAGCTGGTCAAACCCTAGACCAAATTAGCCATGGGTACCGGGTACCCTGGGGGTTACATAGGCTAAAATTATCTTATTTTTTTTCTTCAAAAATCTGATTTTTTTCAAAATTCGAAAGAAGCTAGAAGTTAATATTATGTTGGACACTTTTGAATGGACTGATTGAGTTTAACTAATTCTCTCGGATCCGGAATTGTATGTATTTATTTATTAATGCTACACTTTTAAAAGGCAAGTTTTTTCATTCTTTTTCATACTTTTTACCTAAAATTTCCTTTATTTTCACTATTTCAGAGAAAAAAAATTTTGTTTGGCGCTCCGCGCTGGAGAAAATATACACCCTTGCATTATATTTGTTATAAAAGTGGAAGAAGTAGACTACGTTTTAAGGACCCTTCATTGACTTATAGAACAAATATAATGCAAGGGTGTATATTTTCTCCAGCGCGGAGCGCCAAACAAAATTTTAAGTTTTTTCTCTGAAATAGTGAAAATAAAAGGAAATTTTGGGTAAAAATATCAAAAAGAAGGGGAAAAAACTTGCCTTTAATGTCCAATTTTTCATTTTTTACCTCCCAAATCTACAAAAAATTATTCCCCCCCCCCCCCCTGAAAAATATACACCCCTGAGAAAATATATAAAAAGATGCCCGACTTGCTTGTGTGCACCTCTTAATACATTATAGTTGAGATACTTTGTCATTATTGAATAAAAAGGGATATTAAATTTATACATTTTTTTAGAGTTAAAATCAAAATTGCAACTTTTCTTACATTTTAAATATTTTTCAGTTCTTATTCATGTTCATTAAAAGAACAAAAACTCAACTTTGACGGCCCTCGCTGAACTTAACTACTTCATATTTAAGGGGGAATTTTTAGGAAAGATATATTTTTTTAAAATGCATTGATCACGCATTATATTGATTTTAAACTCTTTTAATATTTCCGGTCAAACATTTTGTGTAAAATAGCGTTAATCTTCAACGCTTAATCTTGATATTTCAATGTGACTTTAACATTAAGAGGATAATATGCTTGAACTTATGTTATCCCTCCCATGGATTCCGATTACAGGATGATTTATTAATTTAATCTGTAGGATGATAAACTATATAGATAAATACTTGATCATGGTATTCACAACAAAAAAGTTTTGATCTCTAGTCCCCACTTTAGAGAAGGTTCAATATTACAGGATAAAGGAGCACACCAGGAGCTGATGGAGCAGAGGTTTAATACTTTAATATTTCAGGATAAAGGAGCACACCAGGAGCTGATGAGCAGAGGTTTAATACTTAAATATTTCAGGATAAAGGAGCACACCAGGAGCTGATGAGCAGAGGTTTAATACTTAAATATTTCAGGATATAGGAGCATACCAGGAGCTGAGGGAGCAGAGGTTTAATACTTTAATATTACAGGATAAAGGAGCACACCAGGTGCTGATGGAGCAGAGGTTTAATACTATAATATTCCAGGATATAGGAGCACACCAGGAGCTGATGGAGCAAAGGTTTAATACTTAAATATTTCAGGATAAAGGAGCACACCAGGAGCTGATGGAGCATGCTGAATTCATCCTCGGCAATATCACCTACGGGTTGAAGGCCATGGATAGTGTTAGGTTTAGGTTACTGGATAAACAGGATAAACCTATCTCTATTCAACAAATTCCTAGAAGGTTATTATTATTATTATTATGATTAGGGTTGAAAAAGTGGAGATAGTACGGTGGCCTGTAACGATGACCCTGCTGGGAGTATGCTCCGTGTTTTGTCTTCTTCTCTTTATCGGAGCAATCGTTCACTCCCGGGGCACCTTGATTCTCTTCTCCGTCTGCGGTCTCTTCTCCATCATCTTGCTCTGGCTCATCACTGCGGTCTACATCACCCTAGCTGTAGCTGTAGCAGGTTAGTAAACTAGATTCTGTACAACTCAGATTCATAGCAATCTGGCGAATTGTTGGATGCTCGTTGTGATACGTTTTCTTAAAATCACAATATTGAAGAATTTCCTCAATGCAACTGAGCCTTTGCCACAAACTCAACCTTTCTTATCACTATATCTTTTTAATTTGATTATTTAAACCTCTGATATTTTAAACTTTTACTATTTGATCTAATAGAATTTATAGTTTAAAATATATAAGTTCTACGACATTAGGTTGCAAAGATATAGGGATTCGTAGATCAGAGTTTGTGGCATAGTCTCAATTACTTTACAGGGTTGCAGCTTTTCTCAAATGAATATAGGCCGAGCAACAGAGGCGTTGCAAATGTCGTTATTTTTCTCATAAATAAATTTAGAAAGAATTTAGTTTTTCTGCATCCAGTCCACTTTCCTATTTATTGGATTTTCAAAATTAACTTTAGTGCATAATCCCCGCTTATCTAGATTTGTGTACTGATCCGAACCCATGGGTTGAACGAAGCTTGAAATCTGAGTATAATGTGTCGGTAGAGATATCCAACTACTACCTCAGATGTACTCCCAATAGGGTGAATCCGTTCGAGACTGGACTACAGGTAATATTTTTCACTTGTTAAAAAAATCACAATGGCGGCTATTGTCCATTTGATTACTAATGCTTATTTCATCCGCTAGGAGGCGCAGAACGCCGCATTGAAGATTGATACCTACGTGAAGATTGTAAGCCGAATCTCTCGGAATCTGTACGGGGACAAGGATCTGAACCCTTCACTGGACCAGCTAGTTACTGGATCTCAGCAGACCATTAATATTATGGGAGAACTAAACAATAGTTTGAAATGTGACCAACTTTACAGGTATATAACAGTGTACACTGTACAGGTATATAACAGTGTACACTGTACAGGTATATAACAGTGTACACTGTACAGGTATATAACAGTGTACACTGTACATGTATATAACAGTGTTCACTGTACAGGTATATAACAGTGTACACTGTACAGGACTGAACCTTAGTGCAAACTTTAATTTTACAAACCTTTTATCTTTGCAACCTGATTGTGTAAACCTTGAACCCTTTTATGCAGTAGAATGCGCATTGCGCAAGTTACTTTTGTACTTTCAAAAGTATAAACATTATCAACACTTGATTAGACAAATCTTTTAAGGGTATTGCCATCTTTGCATGGAGTTTCACTTGAATTTATCCTTACAGTCCTGTTAAGTATTCGTAACTCTGGTTATTTGATCTAAGAGAATTCATAGTTTAAAATATCAAAGGTCTGCGACATCAGAGCAAGTAAAGGTATACGGATGAAAAAATTAGAGTTGAAAGCCAAAACCAAGGTTATGCCCGTTAATGAAAAAGATTTAGTAGATTATAAAAACTAGGAAATTAAAGATTGATAAAGAATGTTGTATACTAAAAGAAGATAAAAAATACAAAATACATTTATACTTGAAAGATAATAATCAAAGCGCACCCATTAGTATTATACAAATGTTCTCTTAACGGAAAACATTAAGATTTAAACTTGCAGGTTATACAACGCCGCTCTGGTCTCAACTTGTGACCAAGGACTGTTTGGACTCCTTGTCATGCTCGTCTCTGCTGCACTCTGCGCGCTAGTGTTTACACTTCTCGTCTGGTGTAATTCACATACTTGGATATACTTCAAGCACAAGGGGAAATACGTCAAGGTAAGTTTTTTATATTCAGGAAATGTGAAATGGGAAGGGTGATGAGGAGCATATCCTGGGATAATGGGAGCGTATTCTGCGACGATAGGGAGCGTATCCTGAGAAACTGGGGAGTATATTCTGGTATAAAAGGGAGCGTATGCTGAGAAACTGGGGAGTATATTCTGGGTTAAAAGGGAGCGTATCCTGAGAAAATAGGGAGTATATTCTGGGATAAAAGGGAACGTATCCTGAGAAACTGGGGAGTATATTCTGGGATAAAAAGGAGCGTATCCTGGAAAAAGACCTATTTCTCTGGATGTTTTTATAAATATAAAATCTAGACAGATAAGATTAAATAGTTTTTATCTCAGGTTGATAAAATCTAGACAGATAAGATCAAATAGTTTTTATCTCAGGTTGATAAAATCTAGACAGATAAGATTAAATAGTTTTTATCTCAGGTTGATGATCAAGATCCCTATATGCCTCTGTCAACTATTGACCGTGGGCGTGCCCCTAACCTAGGAGGCGGGCCCCCAACATACCAAAGGTCTAGGACCATACATACCCCACCTCAGACTCCGCCTTATCACGGCACTCTCAACGGACATGGACACGCCCCCTTCCCTGGTAAAAATGGCACTATGGAAATGAAGGCTCCTATAACTGCTCCGCCCACTGTGCACGCCGGTGTTGGGTAAATATATAAATCTTCTAATAGTTTATATTTTGGAATTGTTGTTTTGCTGATCAATGATGATGTGTTGATTATATTATTTTATGGATGATGGTTGGATGGATGTATAAACCCAAATTGTCAATTGTCCATTTTCTAAATATTTCTGCAGCTACGGACATATTGGAACTCTGAACCGTGGAATGGGTATGGGTCCTCCTCCTCAAGGATTCATGAATCCAACCCATCACGGAACCCTGGGCAGACCTAAACCTCAGAACCCTGGATACTCAACGTAAACCTTAGTTTCATTCCGCTCTAAACCTTAGTTTAATTCCGCTCTAACCTTAGTTTCATCCCTCTCTAAACCTTAGTTTAATTCCGCTCTAAACCTTAGTTTTATTCCTCTCTAAACCTTAGCTTAATCCCTCTCTAACCTTAGTTTTATTCCTCTCTAAACCTTAGCTTAATTCCTCTCTAAACCTTAGTTTTATTCCTCTCTAAACCTTAGTTTTATTCCGCTCTAACCCTTAGTTTAATTCCACTCTAAACCTTAGCTTTATTCCTCTCTAAACCTTAGTTTTATTCCGCTCTAACCCTTAGTTTTATTCCTCTCTAAACCTTAGTTTTATTCCGCTCTAACCCTTGGTTTAATTCCACTCTAAACCTTAGCTTTATTCCTCTCTAAACCTTAGTTTTATTCCTCTCTAACCCTTAGTTTTATTCCATTCTAACCCTTATTTTAATTTGCTCTAATCCTAGTTTCATTCCTCTATGACCTTAGTTTCATTCCGCTCTAACCCCAGTTTTGTTCCATTCTAACTCTAGTTTCATTCCGTTGTAACCCTAGTTTGTATTACCTCCTGCATGTAGAATTTGAATGTGTGTTTTGTTTTAATTTTAGATTTTAACTAAGCTAACTAAATAACAACAACTAGTATACTTTGATCTCATTCATCTTTTTGTATGATTAATATTATTAATATTTTTTGTTTATCAATACAGAATACATACATTATACAATATATTAAATAATGGTTCGGAATATCTAATATCCATTCAGCCTCTAACTACATGCCCAGACCGAGGGGGCTTTTAGATTTTAGGGGGGGGGGTAGACTGGTTTTTGTCGTAATACTCCCTTTAAAATGCATTTGTCTTGTGTTTCATGGTGAGAATAGACAAAATGAACATAATTTTGGAAACACCCTGTAAATACATAAAATATTAGTTTGCAAGGAAAATTATGGATTATTGAACGCCTAACCCGAATATTCATTTTTCAAATTTACAATTTTCCATCCATAATGTTTAAAATTATAGAAGAGGCTTTTTTTCTGTAATAATTTAGATTTATCAGGGATGTGTGGGGGGGGGGGTGTACGTTTGGGCCCTGTTAATACATAAAATGTTAATTTGCAAAGAAAATTATGGATATTGTAAAGCCTAACCCGAATATTCAATTTTATATTTATTTAAATTTACTTAAAGTATCTGATTACTTACACAAATTCAAATTTTCTAATCCTTATATCTTAGCAACCTGATGTTATAAACTGTTAGATCAAAAAGTCGAAATTTAGAATATCAAATGTTTACGCCATCAAAGGGATTAAAAAATTTGAGTTTAGTGTTCCGTATCTTTATCTAAACCTTAGTTTTAAATTTCTAGGTTTGACTCTAACACTGCACGACGAATTTTAGTTTGAATTAGTTCTGATATATTGATCAATTGATGCATGCTTGCTTGTATTTTGTGAAATTAATATTTAATATTGGCGCTAGTAAACCCTCCTAGATTAATAACCTTACACTTAAAGTTACAATAGTTTTTAAAATATAGGTCCATCTCAAGTATATTTAAATCAGAAATTATTACGCACAACTATTTTAAACATAAAACCCCGGGAGCATATCATAAAGGAAAAAAGAAAAAATAAAAAAATATTTTTTCTTACGGACAAAATTCAGGACCTTCAAATAGTTAAAATGTTAATTTAGTGTTGTGTTATTATTTTTATTTGTAAGAATCCCTTTTTAAATATTTTTTTTTATTCTTTTTAGTTTAAAAACTTGAATTTAATAATCTTATTGTTCAGGTATGGTGGAGTGCCGGGTGGAGCAGCTAGTACCATGACCCTCGGCCGACGAGGTCACTATGCTTCCCTTCGTGCCACCAGGGCCGTAGATAATGATCTACCTTTGCTTGGTCCTAACCAAGGACAGTACGCTACTCTCTCTAAAGGTTGCAAAACCCTCGAGTCAGCTGATTTCTACTAAGCAGCTGATCCATCGAAAATTTCGTGGATTTCTAATTAATTAAAAGCTGATTTCTACATAACAGTTCGAGAAATCTCGATTTCGTCTACAAAATCAGCAATGCTTGAAAATCAGCTAGATTTTAGCTATAATATTAAAACTTCTAATCAGCAGAAATTCTACTTCCAACCTTTTCCAACCTCAAGTTTTCAATGTCACAAACTCGTGATCAGGATATATAAACTATCAGTGCTGGGCTCAGCTAATACCTAGCATGGGCTCAGATCCTAAAGACGACCCTTGGCTCAGATCCCATCAAACCTAGGATCAGATCATACCTAGTCTAGGCTCAGATTCTCCCTGGCCTTGGCTCAAACGTCCTGAGCTGAGCACATCCATTCTGAACACGTGATTTGAATCCCTCTGCTGAGTAAGAAATTATTAGCCATGCAGAAAGTTGCCAAATGTCTGAAAATAAAAAAGAATATTATTGTGATCTCTCCATCATCAAAACTGTTTCAAAAAATGACTGTTCTCCTTTTATAGTGAATCAATTTACTCTTCCTTTAAGTGACCATTCTAGCCCTGAACCTTTCGCGGATTTATCATATTTTGCGGCATTATCTTGAATCTTCATATTGGAAGCAGCTGAGAAGACAAAATTCAAATTTTTTAAATTATCTTTTTTTTTGTATTATTGTTATTACAGCATTCAATAGTTTGGTGAGTTTCATCAATGCAACTGTACAACAAATGTTGTACCGTAAGTCAAATTATCAAAATGTTGCACTCAACATTTGACATAAATTTCTTAATTGTATCATATGTCAACTTTTTGTTTTGTTTTAACAGAATTAAACCAATATTTCTTATCTTTGTAACTACATAAAGACGTTTCATGTACAGTTTTGATTGTACAGATGTACATAACTGAAACTAAAAAGAAAATTTTGTCTTTCCGTGCCCCCGCCATTTTTTAGTTTAATTAAACCATTTTATAATTCATAACATAATAATGTAAACCTTGTACATATTACGTACATACTTAATATATTTAGTTCTGGTAATAACTTAAATATATGTACACTCTACTGAACTGTACTGTACTGTACTGTTTGTAAAGAAGTTTTTATTAACAAAGCAAACTGTACAGAAACCATGTAAGGCTGATTTTAAACTCTTATTCCAAAAATTTACCTTTTATCAGTTTGATTTCTTTCTTTTTAATTAGCTCATAAAATTGTAATGTTTTTTTTGTAGTGAGTCGAAATGTTTTTACATCTTAATTCAGAGCTGAAAACTTTAGAATGGTGGATATCGAGATTAATGCGTGATCCTCTCTTTTTCTTAATCTCGAGACTAACTTAATCTTGTAAGCTTGTATCCTGAAACGTGTATAAAATTCAACCAATCAGAGTCGCGTATATGAAGCCGATAAATTTGAAATTTTGCGCGCCATTTAAGATTTCATACAGAAATGGGAGGAACTCTCTAATTTAGAAAGCCGGTTTTTGATTTTTCTCTGCTATATCCAAGAAAGAACGGTTTAAGAAGAAAATCAAAAGTGTGTCCATTGGATACTCGATCAGATTAAATAATCGGGATTAAGGATATCTCATTCAAAAGTTTTCAGCTCAGGTTGCATAATTTTAAATATTTCGAACCGGGGTTAAAATATCAAAAACTAAATAAAATTTGAAAATCAAAATTTTATAAACGAGCTCACTTTGCTAAAACCGGTTTCATATAAATGTGTTGCAACCAAGGATTAGTGTAATCTCTATGTTTACATATGAGCTCTAGTCAACAAAAAATCTGCAAAGCCTTGAAAAGGTAATATTCGTTTAACCTGATATTTTAAATTTTTCCACGTGTTATATTTCTTCAATATTGTACTTTAGACCAGAGAAATACATATTGTATCTATATACCAATTTTTCTTAATAAATGTTGATAAAATAGTAGTTTGTTTGACAATTTCTTAAGAAAATAAATGGCGGACTCCATTTTTCATGAAATTACATGTTTTTGGCAGGTAAAGAGAATATTCAACTAAATATAATTGGATCGAAACAACTTTAAGATATTTTAACCTAAAGGGACTTCAGGAGTAATATCCATTTTTAAGCAATTTTACACTATGTACCATAATGATAAAAATGTTTATTTTAAATCAAAATAAACTGTATTTAGAAAATCTACTTCTCTAATCATCGAATTAATTATTATTTGATGACATTTTTTAATATAAAAGTCCATCATGAAACATAGCGTAGCTTGATATTTAAACTCTTAATTTAAAAACATGAATTTGCCGATTAAGAACTGCCGAAAGACTAAAATGTTATGGCATGGAAGAGCGAATAGTAGTGACTCATGGCTGCCGGAAGACAAATAAAAAAGCTTATTATGTGGCATGGAAGAGAAAATTGTTGTGACTCCTGGCCGCTTTCCTTCCCCCCAAAATCTTGAAACCCCCCCTAACCCGTCACTGTTTCTGATTAACTTGTCATAATATAATTTCTCAAATTTTATAATCTGAAAAAGTATTTTGTATAAACAGCTTGAAGCTGTGCTGACAGGTTCAAGGTTTAAAGAGAGAATGAAAAAACATCTGGTAAAACTAAACAACAGGATTTTAACAAATGCAAATTCAAATTTTCCATCCCAGAATTCTGAACCCAGTCAACTAACACTGTCTTTGAAACAATCGGATTGAAAGAACGACAAACGACAAAATCTTACTCATTATTCCTCAGGTAAATTTAAAGGTATCATTGTTAATTAATCTTTCATTTGGGGGTCGCTTGCAGTTACTTGAAGTTACGCCTTCAGTCTTTTTAACCCTGATCAGAACTGAGCAACGATTAACAGCTCTAATTAATTTGCGTCATTTTTTCTTTAAGTTTTGATTTTGTAAGCTATCAGTGATGTAAACTCTTACAAAGCGTAAAATCTTAATTTGTTAAATTAGATTTTTTCTCCCCCATTCAAGTAACTTCGTACGTTTCTATAAACCGCGGTCAGCGGTTCAGCCAGCACTTTTCAAAAGTTTTCAAGCACCTCTATGATCTAACAACTCTCCAATTAAAATTTGCGCGAAGTGCCCCTTCCCCTCCATCCTTCTCAGTCAACGCCATTTTAGTAATAGCTCCCCCCCCCCTCTTTTCAATGTCTTCATTCCATGTTTGCTCTTTAAACAGTTCTAATTCAGTTTCAGCACATTCTTTATTCTTTTCAGAGTTTCCCAGAAGGTCCCCCGTCTCCTCCAAATCTTTGTTTTGACAGGTTCAAAATCACTCACTCCGGACAGGTTTCCTCCGTATGCAGGCAGTAGCTCCGAGATGTTTCTCCGGAGTAGAACTCTCCTCCTCGTCCCGACCCTGCTCTGGGCTCTAGAGATAGCTGGAGCTCAGAGTGTCCGTGAGGATCACAGTAAACAGCCTCTGGACGAACGACCTCAGGCAAGACAAGATTAGAGTTCCAAAAATGATAAAATTTAAATTTTTCTTGATGTAATTAAATAACTGAAAAAAATCACCTCAAAAACTAAAATGTTCTAATTGTTAATTCTTTCAAATCTGATGTGTCGTAGAACGCAAACGCTATTTATTCTGCTTACAGATCTAATAGGCAAAGTGGAAATATCAAATGATTATCGGATAAATTGTAGAAGTAAGGAATGAGAATATTAGAGTTTGATGCTTGTAGTTAGATATCAGTTAATAGTTATATATTTATCAGTTTTAAAGCACTTTACCTGGAAAAAGGCAGACCCCATTTTGGAAATGCCAGGACCAGGAGAATTTTGTGGTTATTGTTTCAAGGATCGTACATATGAGGTTGACGACTGAATGTCACAAATACAGGGTTACCCACACAGGAGGAGACTGTAAAGACGACCTGAATCTCTTTAAACTTAACAACTCCGGGTTCTGCCTTGAATATTATTATTTTATGGCTTGGTTAATGATTAGGCAAAAGAAAGAACAAGTTTACAGTTGCAGAGAATCATCAATATCAGGATATAATATTCTGTACAGTCGTCTGTGAAGTCTCATTCTTTGTAGGTAACCCTGTATATTCAAAGATCAAAGACGAATTTCAAGTTGTCTTGCTACTGTCGTGTTTCGTGGGACACCCTGTACTTTAGAGACGAAAAATTGTGCGTGGTTATGTTAAACTACTTGATTTTTGGTTGAAAACTAATAATGGCTGATTTCTAGAGCACCTATATAACAAAAAATAAATTTTTTTGTAGCGTCCCCCCGTCTCTCCGTACCTACTATATGGACCACATGGATACAGAACCTACCCTCACTCTATATGCCAAGAGGTGAATTCATCTAACAAATTTACTTTTAAAGATTTTATCAAGATGGAAACCGTGGAAAATGAAAATAAAAAATTATGCCACATGGTTATGCAAGTGATTGAAGTCTATGTGTCTAAGTTCCTACAACTAAAGTGTCTATGTCTAGGTTCCTACCATTCAAGTCTTTATGTCTAGGTTCCTAAAGTTGAAGTCTCTATGTTTAGGTTTCTACCGTTGAAGTCTCATTGTCTCGGTTCCTAACGTTAAATTCTCTATATCTAACTTCCTACTGTTGAAGTCTCTATGTCTAGGTTACCACCGTTGAAGTCTCCATTTCTAGCGTTGAAGTTTATATGTCTAGATTTCTACCATTATAGTCTCTATGTCTAGATTCCTATTGTTTAAGTCTCTATGGCTAGGTTCCTACCGTAGAAGTCTCTATGTCTAGGTTCCTACTGTTGAAGTCTCTATGTCAGAGATGGAAGGAGATTGGTTTCTTATAGAATATGTAAACAGTCATGACGGGAAACCCATAGGAGCACACACACCCTACCTCTGCCCAGAGGTAAACAAGATTAATCCAAAAAACTAAGAATGATCAGGCACATTTTTGGTCGGGTATACATAGAAAATAATATGAAAGGGTTACCCACAAAGGACGAGACTCCATAGACGACTGTATGGAATTCTTATTGTCTTATGTTTCCAGGCCTTATATTTGATTTGTGGATAACACATTATCTAAAAAATTAAAGACAAAAATTACACTTTGAAAGCAAAACCTTTATTCATCATAAAAATGGTCTTTGGAATTTAGAAGAAAAAATTTATTCATTTTCTCATATACTTAAAATTTTAGTGATATTTGCCAATAATTGCCGGGCATTTATTATTACAGGATTCACAAAGGAAATGGAAAACATAATATTTTTGGACTTTTACAAAGGCTAGGATGACCTTTGACCCTGTGTTGGGAGAACCAAAGCTAAATATTAGTCAAATATCTTATGAATGGCCAGCTCTCTTCGTAGATACCGTAGAATGGGTACAGCACAGGTATATTTACTATCTAGGTTGACAAGGTCGGGGGGGGGGGGGGGGGGGGGATTAAAGATTTGACGTTTTAAACACACCTTCTGGATCGCTCATTTATAACCGTGTGTATTTCCGATAATTTTATGTTAAACATTAAAAATATGAATTTCAGCTTTAAACCATTTTTTAATTATAAGACTGGGATTTTGAATAATAATTGAATTTTAAGAAACGAGATTGGGATTTTTTTAATTAATGATTGATTTTTAAGAAACAAGACTGGGGTTTTCTTCCACGAAGAGAACATATTTTCACTCTGGACTCTAAAGGTAAATAAAAGAACGTGCAACTGTGATATATTTTTAAAACTTATTTTAAATCTCTGTCATTTCACTTAACAAAGAAAGTGGTTAAATTATTTCATCTGTTTTTTTTTCTGTGTTTGACACAAAACTTATTTTCCGTTTATATATTATACAGTTTACCCCAGAGATTTAGAGACATTGAAAGAATTTATGAAACGTCGTGTTGACAATTTTTCAATGGTTTTATACTATTATACGTAAATCTCAGTAATAGTTAAAATAAATATCCATGAATATGCAGGAGCAGTTTAAAAGAGTTCCATTTTATCATTTAATTAAAAAATTTAAAACTAAATTTCTGCAGCATTCCATTATCAGGAAGTTAAGAATACGACATTTCATAAATTCTTCCGATTTCTCTTTATATTTGAACTTAACTGTATCATTACAGCGGTGAATATATTCCACGCAGTTCAGATTTGGCGTATTTTCGCAAATATTAATTAGAGAGATTAGAGATCTGAATTCATGAAACGACATAGTTATTTTTTCTTTCACAGCAGCTTAAAGATAAATCCGGAGTATACAGTAATAACCAGAAAGTTTTGGAATAAAAGGACGACTTTTAGACACAAGTTATGACTCTAAATAGTCAAATGAACATGAGTTACTGCATTTTTGCAGTGTAAACAGACCCATTTTACTAATTAAGTGCTTTTATAAGTTAGTAGTAAAACTATTTGCTTTATAACAACATCAAATACACTTAATCATTGTTTTAATGTCGGCTTCCTATTCCATAGTTTTCTGGTTCTCTCTGTATGAACTACATTTTAAAATTTTCCATCAAGGTTTTGGAGTTTGATGCAGAATCTCACATGGTGTTCTTCTTGTGCATTGATTACACGATCTGGCCTGGTTGGAACCATAGAGGGGTTTATGTTCTCTCCAGGACTCCGGAGCTCAAGGAATAAACACTTTCATCTAGATTATTTGTTAGAGGGGGGGGGGGAAGAGAAAACTTAGATTCACAGATTGTAGAATGTAACCCCGTTCAGATGGGGTAAAAATTTTCGTATCAGGGATCATTTTTAATTTTATCACTTATTGAAGTTTTGACGTAGGGTCCATCCATGGTTATAGAGTGGTATGACTAATTCACATCAATATACCATTAACCTGTGTTTGATTAGAGATGAATGAGATATCCTTTTTTGACTAGTTGAAATTGATTATTTTTAAGACATAACATCTAAAGAAAAAATTATCGTCGCACGCCAAATCCCCGGCCCCTAGGCTCACCTCAAAAACGCCCCTGAAAAAAGCTCATCAAAGACAAAAAAAGAGCTGGGAAAAAAGACGTCCGTGAGACAAATACAAATGGGATAAACAGGATAAATCTGCCGGTTCTAAGGCTGACCTGCGTGCGTGTAAAAGTGTTGTTTTATTAGAACAAGGTGAGAAGACAGCTGTCCAACAAGGCGCACAAGAGGATGAGGATGAACTACGACAGGATTATATCCATTGATTTATACCTATTTTTAGTATACACATGGTAGTTGAACTTCTTTTCCAGTTCATGTACTCTATAGTTTAACCTTCTAATTGCGAATCATTTATTCTGACTTGGATATTAATTTAAAAATTCTATTCCTTATAACACTATTACAGGGTGTCCCAATAAACATTGGAGTTAAGAGCAGACGCGCAATTTTTTTTCTGAAACCTAAGCAGACTCAAATTCAACTATAACATTTTTCAATATTAGCTCAGATTCTTTTTAATTTCCCCCTTTAATTAAAAATGCCTACAAATTTGGATTTTTTAAATTACACTCACACATTCTTATTCACATTGCCCCACCAGACTTAAATTTACCCCTTTATTCAACATGTGTAACTCTTCTTTTTTAAAATGCCACCATATATTTTGAATTTGCACCTAAATTTAATTATTTTATCCTCAAATGTTTTATCAATACAACCATATTTTAATATTTACAGCCCTTTCTAAACAATGCCCCTTATTTTATTTTGATAATGCTAAAAAAATGAGAAGTTTTGCCCCCAACAAAAAAATTAACCCTTAATTTAAAAAATGCACCTTTATACATTTAAAAAATGCCCTTAAATAAAAATATTGACCCCAAAATAAAGATACAAGATTTCCCATACACAAAATTCACCAAACTGAAAAAAGCCCCCCTTAAAAATTAATTCCCCCTCCCCCCAAAAAAAATTTGCCCCTGAAATATAGTTTAAGATTTTTCCCACACAAATTTGCACCAAATTGAATGAATGCCCCAAAATATAAAAATTTTCACCAAAAATACCCTGAATTGGTAAGGTAGTTTATTCATGGTTGAGTATAATATACTTTTTTACTTGCCCCATATCCCTAAAAATGTTTAGTGGGGGGGGGGGGGAATTTTGTTTAGCGCTATTCGCGAAATAATTGCTCTTTGCCCTCCCCCACCCGTAGCTGAATGTCTAGTTGTGCGCCTGGTTAAGAATATTTTGGTTCTTTAGGCCCATCGTACTATTTTACATGAACGTTGCGGCACATATATTCCAGACGCCTGTACGCGTCAATACTGCATCTATATTTACCTGATCTGTGGATTTATCAAAAAGAAGACTAATCCCCAAATTTGTACAAGAATGTATATAATAATGTGAACAGACGAGTTAATACAACCTCATGTAACCCAGATGACTGGCTTCCATCCGCCAGACCTAGATGGCATCCACACAAGAAAATAAACAAGTAAAAATATAAATACTTTCCCAAAGGCTCTTAAGGGTATTTTTCCAAGTGGCAACTTCCCAAGTCTGTCCTAACCGCAGCGCTCGGCCTCCATTGTAGCCTGCGGCGCCTAAGAACACCTAACCTGACAATTGGGGAGTTGGCGCTTGGGAAAGTGCGCATTTCAGAAGGTGCCACTTGGGAAATGTAACTTAAGGGATAAACCTAACACCAAAATATGTTATACCCTAATCTGACTTTTTAACCCTACTCAGAAACTCGGCTTCAAAAAGCTATGACTAACGCATCTCGCAGAAGAGTAGTTTGAAAAGTGGACAGGGGTTTGGTAAACTGGGCGCATCCATTTAACATCAAAATTCATTGCTCATACCAATGTTGAACTAAATAGGTAGTAAACGCCTAAAACCATATCTTGTAATGAAGACCTTTGATCTTTCCAACAAGTAACAACAATACTCTGAAAATGTTCAATCCCTATTAGCAACCAGGTGGTATTCGATATAAAACTTCTGATCATGATCGTACAATAAACACTTTCTTTACAAAATATGGCACGACATAATCCACAATCAGATCATGCTAAGTGCGATACTTGAGAATTTTTATCCTCCCTAAATGTTATCACTCAAAATAACGATTCTTGTTTTCTAGTGAGCTGTACCGAGCACCTGTACACCCGTACATAAGCAGGAAGCACAGAAGAAACCTAAATATTCTTGATTAAATAATAATATAAGTATATCTTGAATCTGCATATATGCATTATCTATGAAACATTTGAATAAATACTTTACTCACGACAAATAATTTATTCTGGTTCAATTTACATTTTACATACTTTTATTTACAAAAAAGCAGCTTGCAAACTATTAAGCAAGTAATGGTATCATTAATTTGAACTGCTGTACAGTGTACATAATAATAAAAAATCGAAAGTTTCATAAAAAAAATCAAGAAGTATTCACAGGGTTATAAAAAAAAATAGTTAACATATTTGACTTGAATAATAATGCGCGCGCATGCAGAAATAATTTGGCTAATTCACAATAATATCAAATTTTCAGAAGGTGAGTTGTCGAGAAACTCGTTTACTTAATTCCAGATTCATTTCTTCTTTTTGTTGATGGAAGCCTAAAAATATTATTAGGTTATTTCTGACAGAAGTTATAAAAAGTTTTATATCTTAAAAGTTTTCAAATTAAACCAGAAATCATTTTGAGTTTTTTTAGCTATTCATTTAAACTATTTCTGGACCTTTGATATCTATACAAAAATAAGACAATTTACAAATTATCTAAATTAAAACTATTAAGGTTAATTTTATGTAATGGGTTAGAAGTAATAACCAATTATATTTACTATTTTTTATAAATTATTTAAATGTTTGAACCCTACCTGCTGCCAGGGTTTCGAGTTGAATCTAGTATTCTCCAGTACAGCTTTTTTCCCTGCAAGATTGCAAAATCATCCATATGTTATTTTTGTTATTCTGAACCATTTAGAAAGTTCAGAGAAACCAATTACTCTCCTCTAACTAGTCTGTGCAAACCTTTTATATTTGAAACTTTGATAGTTTGCAAGTCTACGATATCAGGTTCCAAATTTATAAGAGTAAGAAATTGGATTTTGAGAGTTATAATCAGTTACTTTCCTTTAAACTAAACAGGATTACAGTTTTAAGTGTTTCTCTTGCAGTTTCTTGTAAACTTTTACTGAGCTTATTTCTTTAAAAAACATTTAAAATTCTGTTTACATAATTTTGTTAATATTTATTCTTGGGAAACAAAATATTAGGTGAGGAAACACATAGACAATTCAGATTTCAAGCTTTAACCTTTTTGTATAACAAAAAATTCAAAGAATAATTATGACCTCGTCATAAGTTCAGATTTTATTAAAGGTGACCAATCGTCTCAGTGGCGGAAAGGGGGGTTATTGGGGTGGTTATTTACCCCCCTAGAATAATTTCAATGTGCAGATACTTCAGATATTTCAGATTTTAAGTCAACATATTCTAAATGATTCTAAATTCTAAAGTATTAGTCTATGTCATACAATTAGATGTTTTTTTAAATAGAAAAATAAGGGTATGTGCAATGTCATTTCCATATAAGATTTATTTAAGATTGACAAGAAAATTTTAGAAATTAAAATTAGAATATAAACAAAGACAATATTTTAAGTTTTGCAGAGTAGCTTTCCTAGAGATTTAAAAAAGTAACATCTTTTTCCTTTTAGAGTAAACTATTTTTTTATGTTACTTAAAATAAATTCAATTTTTTTACAGATCACACTTCACTAGCAACATTAAAAAACCGCACCCCCCTTACAGAATCCTTATTTACGCCCCTGAATTATCGTCTTTATTATAAAAATCTTTTACAAGTAAAGATATTTCTTTATTTCCATCTTTAATCAAAATCAAATCAAAATCAAATCAAATCAAATCAAAATCAAATCAAATCAAATCAAATCAAATCAAATCAAATCAAATCAAATCAAATCAAATCAAATCAAATCAAATCAAATCAAATCAAATCAAATCAAATCAGTTTTCTTTAAAATGTTCACCTAAAGCTAGAACTTCGTCAGAGTTCTCACTCAGGTTCTTCTGTCTCTTCAGTCCTTGCTGTCCATTTTGAAGCTGAACAAAAGATATTGATAAATTGATGTCATCAAAGCAAAATGAACTCGACACTTACATTGCTCAGTTCTCAATGAACTTTACTTTAACTGATCAGTTCCTGATAAACTACACTTACAACACTGATCAGTTCCTTGTAAACTACACTTACATTGATCTGCACTGATGAACTACAGTTACAACACTAATCTTTTCCTGATAAACTACACTTACAACACTGATCAGTTCCTGGTGAACTACACTTGCAACACTGATCAGTTCCTGGTAAACTACACTTACCAACACTGATCAGTTCCTGGTAAACTACACTTACCAACACTGATCAGTTCCTGGTAAACTACACTTACATTGATCAGTTCCTGGTAAACTACACTAACATTGATCAGTTCCTGGTAAACTTTATTTACATTGATCAGTTCCTGGTGAACTTTACTTATATTCATCAGTTTCTGGTGAACACACTTACATGGATCAGTTCCTGATGAACTACACTTACATTGATCAATTCCTGATGAACTACACTTACATTGATCAGTTCCTGATGAACTTTACATACATTGATCAGTTCTTGGTGTACAACACTTACATTCATCAGTTCCTGATAAACTTTACTTTCATTGATTAGTTCCTGGTGGACTACACTTACATTGATCAGTTCTTGGTGAACTACACTAACATTGATCAGTTCCTTGTGAACTACACTTACATTGATCAGTTCCTGGTGAACTACACTTACATGGATCAGTTCCTGAAGAACTACAACTCCTCCTTCCTTTACATAGTTTTGCTTCTCCAACATCTCACTCATCATTCTTCTCTCCTTAAACAAATTAACTGGTTTTCTACTAAAAATGGACTGTCCACATTATTTTATAAGGGACGTTTTTCTATCTTTTGTTGATTGCTGTAAATTTCATTCTTCTCCCATGAATCTTCAAGTAAAAAAAGGGGGTGTATATTAGTTTTGAGACATTTTTGGCCCCAACACCCTTTTTGATGGCTTGAAAACAAACATTTTTTACAGAGTTATTCAGCCCCAGGAAACTTTTTCCCTTTTCCTTTGGGATAAAAAATATCATATTTTTTTCCCAAAAAAGGTTTTTCTTATTTTCCTGTGTGAGCCAAAACCAACAGATAAAAAATTGAAATCCTCCTATTTCCGTTTTACTTCCCCTTTAACTTCCCTTTTCCCCTTTCCTAGTTCCTTTTCCTATTTTCACTTTTTCCTATTTTCCCCTTCTCCCTTCTCCCTTTCACCATTTTTCCTTTTTCTTGTACATTTTTTCCCGCAACCCCTTCAACAGCTTATATAATGTAAGATATACAACCTTGCTAGAACGATTAAAACCACTACTTTAAACCGGGTATCCCAATTTTTAAATAGAGGGTAACTTGACAATAATACGTCAAATGTACCATTGTTAGTCAGGATTTAGATTTCCAGGATAACAATATGACCCTTACAGTTTTTTTGGAAATCATTTTTGAAATTAATGGTTGTTACGAAGAAGACCAGTCCAGTTAAATTCAGACCACTGAATACTGAATAGTTGGGTTATTAGAAAGAAAAATCGGTCAAAGAGAAATCTCCAAAATAAAATAAATACCTTGAGTTCGGATCCCATAGCAGACCTTTCATTCTCATAATCCTTGATATTTTCTCTCCTCACCTTCAAACTGTTCAGTCTCTCCTAAATAACAATCGTCTTAATTATAGTAACCCTCCATTTTAAGAGTCACAACCCGAGTCACAACGTTACCCTTGAAACCTTAATCTCATCAAAATGTGGAATATAATGATGATTTTCTGACTTGGAAAAGTGTTTTATTAATATAATTTCTCCATTGTTTCTGAAGTAAGAAATGCGCAGGTCACCTTTGCAGAGAACCCACAAATGAAAATAAACAGTTTTCATAAACCAAAACACGGCTATATATAATTCATGTTTAATCAGACAAAGCATTCAATGGTAATTTAACAATCTCTCATTACATCAAGATCTGTGTTTAGTTAAATACATGATGCAGGGTTAACCCACCAAGGATGAGACTTTAAAGACAATCTGAAACTCCTTAATTCTTAAATTCTAGAAGTTGAATTTGTCTTTATTCTTTAATATGAGTTTTTAAAGATGTGTTAAGTGATTTGACAAAGAATGCAAACAGTTTCCACACTGACGTCATCATTTGTGTGTTATCCTGCATGTTTTAATTAACTAATTTGGTTTATATTTTGCTACTTACAATCGGGAATCCTCATTCCTCATACTAGCAAGAATTCAAATACGAAGACCCAAAATATTAATGATCCTGTAGAGTGTAGACTGTCGAACTGTTAATAAGATGTTGTCCAAAAATATTAATTATCCTGTAGAGTGTAGACTGTCGAACTGTTAATAAGATGTTGTCCCAAAATATTAATGATCGTGTAGAGTGTAGACTGTCGAACTGTTAATAAGATGTTGTCCCAAAATATTAATGATTCTGTAGAGTGTAGACTGTCGAACTGTTAATAAGATGTTGTCCCAAAAAAATGACCTGAAGAGAAGTTATCTCTCTAACACTTCTCTTGATCTCTGCTCGAACCTTCTTCTGATGTGTTGCAGACATCAGCTCGCACAGATTTTCTTTAAATAAACAGATCAGAGGTCAGAACTTTAGTTTGATCTATCTTTAATTTGTTATGTTTAATCTCAGTATACAATGTGGTCACTTTTGAAATTGAGGATAAATCCAATCCAATCCAATCCGACCCAATCCAATCATGATGTTAGGGATGTCCGTCCGACCACACTCCAAAATTAAGATGACTTTACTAAATAAAATACTAGGAATTTATTTTTTGTTGCAAATAGGCCTTTATAAATATTTAAATCGTAATACACTACATCAGACATCCTATATCCTTCAATTTATGTTATTCCAGCAGGGTATGACCGGCACTGGGCTGGATATCTAAGTATGAGTTTTCAATCTATATACAAAGTTAGCTTGTCTGTCTGTCTGTCAGTTTGTTTGTTTGTATCCAATAAATGGCTGAACCGATCGGGCCCAAATTTTGTGTGGGACTTCACGTGACTCCATGGAAGGTTTATGAATGATCAAAATTTTAAAAATTTGTATTTATAAGTGTTTTATTTTTGTATAATTTTATAAGCCTAGTGAGTTTATACTTGTTTCTTAGATATAAAACATAAGTCTACACATGGCGAATATTTTATTAGTTTGAATATCAAATTAGGAAGAGACAGCACATCTGTCTATATCGGAAAATCCAACACCAGGAACTGTTTCCAATAAAAGCTATTTCCATTGATGCTCGAAATAGTTTTTTGCATTTAATGCAGAAAGGATAAATGGAAAAAATTCTAATACTAGAAAACCACATTATTTTTGTATCCGAGTCACAATTTCATAAAATTTTCTTCGGTTACATGATGCATAATGAATCCGGAATGTTGTAACTATATTTTAAATTATATGACATGAATGGATGAGAAAATCCTGAAAATGCGACTCAAAGGAAAAAATTATGAAAACCCTTCACACTTACCAGTGCTTAATATAAATATATCAGGAAAATAACAATTTGTATTCAATAATTTTGTACATTTTTAAGAACTTATTTATAAATATCTGGGAAAAAATAAAAAGTTACGACATCAGAAGGCATACTTTTTCATACTTTTTACATGAAATTCCCCCCTCTAAAAACGTTCATTTTCTCCAATAAAGCGAATAGCACACTAAAAATAACTACCTAGCATTTGAGGGAAAAAAAGGATTTTTTAAAATTGGGGGGAAATGATTTTTCAAAAATTATTAATTATACATCCATGATTTGAAATTTACCAATTGGACATTGTAACTGGATTTGTATTTAACTAAAGCTTCCTATAAACTACTTTCTAGGATATCCAATATTGATATTTATTATCCTGATCTAATTTTATTCAACGGGTACCTGGAACCTGAGGCTGTATCAGACCTAGTTCAGGAGCTTGAACTTGATCCTGACTAACCAACCTGATCTTCCTGCTCTCCTCCTGGTGCTTTATCATCTAAACCAAACAAATGGGAAAATTAAGAACTAAAAAGGTATTCAAATCCAAGGACCAACAAAAATATTCCACTGAATTAGTTAAAACGTTCTCATTAAAAAGAACCTAAATATTTTATCAAAATAAATCAAGAAGTTAGGGATTGTCCAACAGCTCCCTTTGTATGACATCACAATCCCTTACAGATCAAACCTTTTTAGCCTGAATATAGTGTAATCCCTACAGTCGGACTCACGACCTAAGATAAGCAAAAAAACATTATTGTTCTCCCTAGGAAACAACCCTATTGAAAAAAAAACTAGTGCTTAAAACAATTGTTAGCTCAACTCAGCATGTCAGATGAAAAAAGATTTAGGCCTGCTTTGTCAAAATGATTTTTTAACATAAAATTATCAACAAAATAGTATTTTAATCAGTGTTTATAGGGGTTCCAACAAACAGTCGTCACCAGAAGGGTAGTTTTGTAATAAAAAAGACAAACAGAGCTGGGAACTTTAGAACGGGATATCCTTAATCCGGATCGGTTAATTAATCTGGAGATTAATAACAAGAGCAGAACAAGCATTATTTAATCTGTATATTAAGAAAAAAGGAAATCAAGCAATAGTCCCAATATCCACCATTCAAAAGTTCACGGCTGAGGCCTGACAACTTAGAAAGGGATATACTTAATCCCCATCGGTTAATTAATCTGGAGATTGATAACAAGAGAAGAAAAAGCATTATTTAATCTGGAGATTAAGAAAAAGAGTGGATCAAGCATTAATCTCGATATCCACCTTTCAAAAGTTTTCTGCTCAGATTTACAATGACACTTTTAAAAGTTCTGAATGCTCAATTTCTGGAGAGGGTATAAACGATATTTGAGAGAAAATGTATGAATTTTAACAGTTAAAGTATCATATTAGGGATTGAAAAAAGTCTGTCAAAATTCAAGACACATTAATTCATAGTGTCATTTTATGAGATTTCTTATTTCCCTATTAGTTCCGAGCCGTGCGTTGCGGCAAATAAACGACAAATCTGGGGACCCTTATCATGGAAAATAGTTGCTTTGGAAAATAACATGGAGAAAGTTGAAAACATTAAAACTGTTACTTTCTCTATTGTTTCATTTTCTCTCTTCTTAGACTCCCAGAGGTTTAGATCCTTCTGGAGCTGTCTCTTCTCCTCATCAATCTGATCCAGCTCCTCCTTCATAGCTCTCTCCTGGATATGATAAAACCATACAAGACATAAATTCATATTTATGCGTATTACTGGTCCGACTTAGTGACCTAAAAGCTCTTCTGGTTTAGATTTTTCGCTCAAGAATGATAAAAGCGTATATTAGAATATGCAAACTTTCAATTTCTGCGGTAGCTCTTCGGAAAAAAGTTTTAAAAAAAACTCAATCTACCGTGAACACTTAAATTTAACTGACGTGGATTTTGTGTTCTTGCTGAATTCTCTGCAAGTTGTCCAAAGATAATGTTAATTATTTGTGTAAGACCCTTTTTTTGCAAGAGGTACATTAGTCAAGATCCCATATTTCAGGACCTTTGGTATCAGTCACCTGTTTATTAAGTCTCCTGATCCTGGCGTTGGTCGTTGTGGGATCAAACTGCTCCTGGGCCTCCAGGGAGGGGAACTCCTTACTCCAGACCTGTACAGAAGAGAACTGCAAAAACTTTTAACCTTATCACAAATGAATTGATAAAAGATGAAGACCTGAGATTGATTGGACCGTTTTCTTTGAACAACCTGGAAACCATCTGCGTCGTATTTCTACAAAAATTTCCTTCATTACAATTTTTTCCTCGTCAAGATTTTGGTCATATCATACCATTTCAGAAACTAGAAATTTATTGAAAACTAGTTAAATTTTCGGTTTAAGGTTTTTAATCAAATAGCTTGAATGTTTTTATGCAAGGACATTTAATTTTGCCATTTAAAAAAATTTCAATTATTATTTCTTACCGGGGGGTGCTCCCATCCACCAACCTTCTTTGTAATGATCTAAAAAAGCAACACATTGGGTTATATAATCAAAAATATTTGGAATTAAATGGCGCAAAATTTTCATTAAAATGAACAACCATTTTCCTCTGAAAAGTGGAAAACAAATTTATTGTAATGAAAAAAGCCAATTCACCTGAACTGGTTTGACAGGTTTCTGGGGAGGTTTTGAGGCTAGATTAGCCAACCTGTCCTTCTCATCCTTAAAAATAGAAAACAAAATAAGTCGGATGCTCACTGCCCTATTCGTAGCCTTTAAAACTTTTTCACAAGAAAAAAATATGGAAAAATGAATTATTTATCTTTAAGTTGAATTTGATATCTTGCTATTGCAGTTCTCTACCAAGTAACTTTCAGCGGACACTTTGAAAAAAAATTAAGAAACATTCTTTTCAAACTTCGGAAAAACGACGTTATCCTTCTTGTTGCTTATCAGATAAAGGTCTTTAGGTGGTACCTAGGGTTTCCAGCGAAAAGGAAAAATAGTTTCGCGAAAATTTTGCATTGTTCGCGACCATTTTGCTTCATTTTCGCTTTCGTTCACTCGCAAAAAATGCGAAAATTCGTTTCAATCTGTTTCGCGAAAATTTTGCGAAAAAATAATGCGAAAATTTCATGAGAAAATTCGAAAATTTCGCAAAAAAATGGAAATTATGCAAAACTAACGAAAATTTCGCGAAAAATACAGAATTTTCAAAAACAAATGCAAAATCAAACATTTAGTATAGTAAAGGAAGAGAAATTATTTATATGACATAACTTCGCGGAAACATTTTCGCGAACATTTTTCGCATTTCCGCGAAATTTTCGCATTTCGCATTACTTTTTATTTCGGTACGTTTTCGCTTCCTTTATTTTCGCGAAAAAGTTTGCGAAATGCGACCGAAAATTTTCGCATTTTTTTCGCGAAACGTTTCGCTCGCTGGAAACCCTAGGCACCATATATGTGAATAGGACATGGAACACTTAAAATTGAAGGTCACTTGAGATTACATCGCCAGTCCCTTTTCTAGGATTTATAAGATTTGGACTTGAAAGTAAAGCCATTATGAGAATTTTCTTTTACTTAACCTGGATTTGAAGCTGTTTGATCAAGTTAGCAGTAGCTTCTTCCTCTTTTTTCTTCTCCCAGTTCTTCCTTTGAATATCTTGCAGAATTCTTTCCTGTAATAAAACTTATTTCTTTATAGAATCAACCCAGCGCAGTTAAGTAGCTTGAAAACATACAGGGTGGCCAAAACTTTTTTGAACAAATCCGTACAAAAATCCGTACATTTTCAGAAGAAATCCGTACAATCCGTACAATTTTCGAAAAAAATCCGTACAATCCGTACAATTTTTTTTTAAAAATCCGTACTGGATACTGGGTACTATATACTGAGTACATGATACTGGGTACAAGATACTGGGTACAGGATACAGGATACTGGATACTGGGTACATGATAAGGGGTACAGGAAACTGGGTACAGGATACTGGGTACATGATACTAGGTACATGATAATGGGTACATGATACTGGGTACAGGATACTGGGTACAGGATACTGGATACTGAATACAAGATACTGGATACAGGATTACTGGATACTGGATACAGGATACTGGATACAGGATACAGGATACAGGATACAAGATACTGGATACAAGGTACTGGATACAAGATACTGGATACAGGATACTGAATACTGAATACTGAATACTGAATACTAATTACTGAATACTGAATACTGAATACAAGATACTGGATACAGGCTTACTGGATACAGGATACTGGATTGATACTGGATACAGGATACTGGATCCAGGAAACAGGGTACTGGATACAGAACACAGGATACTGGATTTATACTGGATACTTGATGCAGGATACTGGATCCAGGATACTGGATTCAGAAAACTGGATACAGGATACTGGATACTGGATACAGGATATAGGATACAGGATACAGGAACCAGGATACTGGAACCAGGATACTGGATACAGGATACAGGATACTGGATACAGGATACCGGATACAGGATACAGGATACAGGATACNTCAGGATACAGGATACAGGATTCTGGATACTGGATACTGGATACAGGATACTGGATACTGGATACATGATACTGGGTACATGATACTGGGTACATGATACTGGGTACATGATACTGGGTACAGGATACTGGGTACATGATACTGGTTACAGGATACTGGGTACGAATACTGGGCATAGGATACTGGGTACAGGATACTGGAACATCTTCTTGAATAAGCAATCAAATAAGTACTTATGAAACAAATAAACACTTGTTGGACATATCTCGAAAATTATGAATGAATTTTGATTGTCAATTGAAACATTAATCAATTTAATATTATTTAGAATGCAGAAAATAAGTTAAACTAACTTCATTTTGACGAGAATTTTTTTTATTTTCATGAAAAATTTGCTGAAATGAGTGAAAATTAAAAAAAAAAACGGTGTATTTTCCAGGATAAAAATCCGTACAATCCGTACAATTTGAAAACAAATCCGTACAATTCGTACAATCCGTACAATTTTAGGGTTAAAAAAAATCAATCCGTACATTTTGGCCACCCTGTAAACTGCAAACCAAGTTATCAACATTGTTCAGAGATAAGTCCGACATCTACTAGTAAAGGGTCACTTGTAATCTGTCAACAGTAGGGGTTGCAGCGAAAAGAAAAAATCGTTACGCGATAATTTTGCATTTTTTCAATTTGTTCGCTCGCAAAAAATGCAAGAATGTTCATTTTTTTTCGCGAAATTTCGCTTCAATTTGTATCGCGAAAAAATGCGAAAATTTCACGTAAAAAATAGGAATCACAAAATTTGTAAGAAAATTCATTATGCAAAACAAAATACAGCTTCAACAACTGTGGTTTCGCGAAAAAAAAGTTTTTAACAAAGCAGAATTGTCGAATTATTTTTCTTCTATTTTTATGCTAAAACTTTGAAGAACCATTCAGATATTAAAATCTCTCTTTTTTTCAACAATTCGTATTCGGGTTTTAAGAGGGAAAGAAGTTTTTATTTGCAGTTTTTAAAGATATTTTGCCCCTTGGATTCGGATCCCCATATTTTTGCGGATCCGGATCCAGGTCACCAAAGTCTTATTTCTTCTCCGATAATTTTACAAAAATCAGTCCAACATTTTAAAATCAAATAGAAGAAATGTGAAAAATAAGTTTTATTGATCAGCATGAATTTACAATTTACATATTTGCAACTAAAAATAATGAGAAAAAATTTACAAATGCAAAAACAGATATTTTCTTAGAGTGCGATTTCCGTAAAGAGTGAAATAAAACAGTAAATTCTCCTTTGTATTTTATTCTTTAGTATCTTTCCCTCCTTCCGCGGCTTCTACTCCTTCTCCTACTCCTCTCACTCCTTCCTCTGCTCCTAGAACTGCTCCTTTCAGCTCTCCTTCCATGTCCTTCACGTTCCCTTCGCTCCCTAAACAAAAGAGATTCGAGATTCTTCTTCTGGATGACGTTTTTTCTTACGTAACTCTTATTCCAAAAAAAAAAATTCATTTTAAACCATAAATATGAATTTAACCTAAGATAAATTGCTTTGCACCCTTTTTAACATGTTGCTTGTGTTTTATTATAGCTTATAACAAGTGATCTCATCTCATCTCATTGAGCTATATATTTTGTATAACTTATAACAAGTACCTATCAATCATTCAAACTAAATGTTGTAAACAAATTAATGGTTATGTTTTCATTCTCGTATGTTACCATAACATCCTCAAACCCTGCCTGGGGCCAGTGTTAACCATTAATTTAAGACCTCTGTAAAATGTCGTCTTCAACTTGAATCTCCTCTCGGAGACAGCCAAACCAAATTTTCAGCCCGCAATTCCCTTTGTACTCCTCCTACGGAGCTTAAAATATTTTCGTTGTTGTGAAATCATTAAAGTTAAGCAAAATATTTTCATAAGAAGCATTAGTGAATTTCGTTAAATATTCAACTGTAATTTTTCAGAAGTTAAAAAAACGTATTTCAATACTGATCAACAATAAGTCACCCCCGACCATCCCTAAATAATTCGTAAGATTTTTTCTACTATTAATATTCATTATAACATTGTACAAGTAACCATGACCTATAATTTATGTTATTTTTTTAGGAAATAAAGATTTTGTTATCGAATTTCTGAGACGGGGTTACTCTGTTGTGTGTATTTGTGGGGCCTATCGGGAAAGAATTGTCCGGGGAAAATAAACATCCCCCACCAGAATCCTAACTGGCCTATTATCCTGATTTGTCTAGCGTGTTGCTGTTTTCCGTCAACAATATTATGTATAACTTTTAACAAGTGATATACATCTCATAGAGCTAGATATTATGTATAACTTATAACAAGTGATAATATCTTATTGAGCTATATATTATGTATAACTTAACAAGTGAAATACATCTCATTGAGCTAAATATTATGTTTAACTTATAACAAGTGAAATACATCTCATTAAGCTATACATTATGTATAACTTATAACGAGTGAAATACATCTCATAGAGATATATATTATTTTTAACTTATAACAAGTGATAACATCTTATTGAGCTATACATTAAATAAAACTTATAACAAGTGAAACACATCTCATTGAGCTATATATAACTAGCTTTCTGTACAGCTTAATTAAATATACAAATTGTTTTTAGTCTATCCTGAAAAAGATTGAAAAAGGCGAAAGAGGACTAACAAATTTAGTATTTGATAATTTGAACAACGGGTTTGAATAAATTATGAGATATGTGGGTTTGAATCCATGGTTCCAGAAACAAATGGAATTTAGAAAATGCGCTTTAAAAATATTATAAATTCTGCGAACTTTTTGTTTGTTATAATTCTATATTGTACAAAGAGAAGATGCTCACAGATAGAGCCACAATTTAAAGTAGAACTAGAAGATAAGCGCGAAGCACATCGTCCCAAAAGCCTTGTATTTTTAAAAATTTATTATTTGTCTAGCAGCTATGGTACCTCCCCTTCCTCAAAGGGACTGAAAAGAAAAAATGTAAGGGGGTATAGGCTGAAACCTAAGCATTTCAGGAGTTGATTGAGACCTATAAGAGTTCTATCTGATGTTCCTGTCTCGAGAAATTTATATAAAACTCTGTCAAAATTATACCAAAACTTAAATATATAAGATTTGGCTTAAGATTATAAGTTTTAAACAGATCCATTACGAGATCCCAAAGGAGCCTGAAAACCTCAAGTTTGCTCCTATTATCATTCTTAGAATTCAATAATATTAATTTTTAATAGATATAATTGATTACATTATTTATACGTCCGTATCACGTGAACAGTACTCCAACCAATGGCAGTGCAGTATTATTGTCATGTGTCTCCCTGTGACCAGTATACTGCACTGCCATTGGAGGGAGTTCTGGTCACGTGATACGGATGTATTGAATAATATTATCAATTATATCTATTAAAAATTTAAAATCATTACATCCAAAGTAATAATAGTAGCAATCCTGAGTTTTTCCAGGCTCCTCCGGGATATCAGATTGGTTGCGTATTTGCTGAATATGATGTATTTAAAACTTATAATCTTAAACCAAATCTTATATATATAAGTTTTGGTATAATTTTGACACAGTTTTATATCAATTTCTCGAGACAGGAACATCAGATAGAAATCATATATGTCTCAATCAACTCCTGAAATTCTTAGGTTTCAGCCTATACCCCCTCTCATTTTTCCTTCACAGTCCCTTAAACTGTATCTTAATCTAGGAGATGAAAACCCGTGAATTTTAGGCTATAAAAGTTTGGGTGTGAAAACCTGTGAATTTTAGGCTATAAAAGTTTGGGTGTGAAAAAGTACGTCATAGCTTTTAGCTATAGAAAATAATTAAATTAAAATCTCTGCTCGTTAGGATTGAACTAATGTTTGAAATTTTCTTGAGCTTAGCAAAAATATAAATCTTAATTAGAAAGTTCTATTCAATGTTTTGTAATCTGACAGAAAATTAAAGGACTTGTTTTCAAGCATTTTTAATCAAGAAATGAAACATTTATAAAATATTAAGATATAATTTAATTCAAACCTACATTTGGCCACCCTGTGTACGTGATGTATGTTCCTGAATGTTAATTATTTGTTTAATCTTTGAAAAACTTAATAAACATAATTGATGAAAAAACTGGGGAGGGCCGGGGTTAGATAGGTCGTATAACAATTCAATTCAATATGAACATGAAGATGATGAATCTACGCTGTGCACCATTCATTCAAGGGTTCAAGGATAAACCAAACCAAACCAAATCTAATCTAATTTAAAACTGTGTTAAAGAAAAACAACTAAATTTAAAAAAGGATTCTAGATTTTAACCACTGCTCGAACAACGATTCATAAATGTTCATTTTAAACCTTTTCCTCGTCAATTAGCTTGTTGTATTAAGATTAAGATTTAACGCGGAAACATTTGTTAACACTTTTAAAGATCTCTTTTAAACTTGGAAATCTGGGATTTTCTTAAAGGGACTATCGTTGTAATTTTAGGTAACCCTTCACTTAAAGAGACGTATGTCCAATAAACAACGATACCGTTAAAACCTTTATAATACAAAGTACGAAACAATTTGAGAAATAAAAGAATTTTGTGAAATCATTGTTCACTAAATGTTGTTAAGTCACGTGAAATGTAAACAATGAATGAAAGTACGATCAATTATCTCATATTTCGTTTAGTAGATAAGAATAGGATTGGGGAAAATGGGGGGATTGAATGGAGAAAATTCATCCTGTGGTGGGTCATTCACATAATTATATAAATTTGATTATAGTGATTTAACCATGAACTAGTTTTCAGAAAAGTAAAAAATAAAACATTATTTACTGTTTAATGTTTATCAGATGTAAAACTATTGACTCAATTCAAGAATTCATCTAAACCTTCTTAACTGGTTTTGAAGGCAAATATTCAACCTTGACATGGTTGTATTCTATCCAACATTTCTGGTCATATCGCAAGAATTCGTAAGATGTTTTAAAACCAGTTGGTTGGTAGAAAACTGTAGAAATGTAGGTGAGTGGGTAGTTAAGATTATATATAGGACAGANGGGGGGGGGCTCTTGTACTTTATCAAATAATAAATAAAAAAAGTATACGTGTATGCGTTCAATTTTATACTTCAGTAGAAGAGACAAACTATTAAAAAATGTATTTATAAATAGATTATTTTACGTTATAGATTAATCTCTCCCAACACAGAAAAGATTTATCTCTCCTCTCCCATTTATCACAGAAATAGTCAGAAAATTTAGGAAGATTGTCGCCTTTATTCATTCTTTTAAAATATGTATTTTAATTGCATTTTATGTATTTGTACTCCCTAGACTAGAATATATCCTGCTCCTGGAGTAAAACAAGATTTGGAAACCAACCAAGAGGAAATGTGAACCCAAGTATAGAGTTCACCAGGGGCAAATAGATTATTAAGCACATTAGGTGGCAACAGAGAAATATACAAATTATACACGATGTCACAAGTATAAAAGTTAACAAGGAAAACGAAATTTTCTCATATTTGTTGACATCTTTTCCAAGATTAAAAAAAATGTTTTACAGAAAATACAGATAATTGGCACTTATTTCCCTGTAGGATAAGATTTAGTCTAAAATTATCACTATTATTAATAATTTTGTCGGACACAATACTGCCGTCAGAATACAGTTTCTATTCTACGTTGCCGTCTCTTGTACTAAATCTATTTAATCAGGGGTAATATTTTACTTCAACTATTTATGAACCCCTCGCCTCTTGACGTTATTAAAGATTTTTTCTTCTTCAGTATTATTTTTGTTTTGTAATATTAAAAGATCCTGAACTGTTTAAGGATAATTTAATAGTAAGGGGTTTAACCTCTTAATCTTAACCTTCTTCATAGTAATTTCATTCACAGACAATTTCACGCAGATACATAGATTTACATAGGTACACAGAAAGAACATAGATACACAGATAAATTTACATAGATACACAGATATATCTACATAGATACACAGATAGACTTACATAGAAACACAGATAGATTTACATACACAGATAAATTTACATGAATAAACAGATAAATCTACATAAATACACAGATAGATTTTTATAGATACACAGATATACTTACATAGTTACACAGACAGATTTACATAGATACAAGATAGATTTACATAGATACACAGATAGATTTACATAGATACACAGATAGACTTACATATAAATACACAGATAGACTTACATATAGATACACAGATAAGCTTACATAGTTACACAGACAGATTTACATAGGTACACAGATAGATTTACATAGATGCATAGAAAAATCAACATAGATACACAGATAGATTTACATAGATAAACAGATATACTTAAATAGATACACAGATAGATTTAAATAGATACACAGATAGATTTACATAGACACAGATAGATTTACATAGATACTCAGATAAATGAACATAGATACACAGATAGACTTACATATAGAACCACAGATAGATTTACATAGATACAAAGATAGATTTACATAGATACACAGATAGATTTACATAGATACACACTACACAGACAGATTTACATAGATACATAGATATATTTCCAACTTTAAAACACAAATCTTCCCTCGGGTCATGTCACTTGGCACACATTAATTTGGACCCTGTAAGCTTTTTTAATTTAAAAATGTAACTCATTTTCCTTTACGATTGAATATTTTGTTAATAAATATCCATGTCTATATAATTTAGCTATTGATGGCCGACGGCTGGACCAAATTAGCTGAATGTTTTTAGGAAACCCGTGGGCGAACAAATCAGGGCATAACAGAACACCGTCAGAGCATCACAGAACACCGTCTGAGCATCACAGAACACCGTCAGAGCATCACAGAACACCGTCAGAGCATCACAGAACACCGTCAGAGCATCACAGAACACCGCCAGAGCATCACAGAACACCGCCAGAGCATCACAGAACACCGCCAAAGCATCACAGAACACCGTCAGAGCATCACAGAACACCGTCAGAGCATCACAGAACACCGTCAGAGGATATGGGATGTTTATAATCCCTTTTATCTACATTTTCAGTTTTCCTTACTTCTAATAGAATAAATGAGGTTGAGCATTAGTTACGCACTAATCCACACATTCTCTGAACTCTCTCGGAATTTGTCTTCAAGGTTTAAACAAGTGAGATGTTTTTACAAGGACTAAGCCAAAAATCGCTTAATGAAGTTTCTGTAGCAAAGGAACTGAGTCGTTGCCACAAACTCATATTTTCCAATCCCTATATCCTTGCAACATGAAATCAAAATTAGGAAAATCGAATTTTGTGGGGAGGCTAATTTTTAAAATTATAATCAAACCTTCCCGGGGGGTCATGTGAGGTCCCACACAAAATTTGGGCCAGCTCGGTTCAGCTGTTTTGACGATTATTGGAAACAAACAAACAAACAGAAAGACGGACAAGCAAAGTATAAATATAAAATACCATCCTCAACCCCTTACAAGTTTTGATTTACCTTATTCTAATCTCAGCTTGAAGCTTCTCCATCTGAACTTCTTCATAATGTTGGCCCAAAACCGGTTTTCTAAAAACCAAGATATAGTTTTAACTGATAATATGTGTACTCTAATATTTTTACAAGAAAATTACCAAAAAGGGAAAGACAGTTAAACTTAGTTTAGTAATACATAAGTACTTAAAGAGACATTTTTAATACTTTTTTATTTATAATTTGAATTTTAATATTGATACCGATACTGATATTAAAACTAATGCTAAAATTAGAATTAATACTGATACTGATACTGATATTAAAACTAAAGCTAAAATTAGAATTAATACAGATACAGATACTAATATTAACACTAAATCTAAATTTAGAATTAATACTGATAGTGATACTGATACTGATATTAAAATAAAATCTAAAATAAGAATTAATATTGATAATGATACTGATATTAAAACTAATGCTAAAATTAGATTTAATACTGACAACTGATACTGATACTGATATCAAAACTAATGCTAAAATTAGAATTAATACTGATACTGGTATGAAAACTAAATCTAAAATTAGAATCAATACCGATACTGATACTGGTATTAAAACTAGATCTAAAATTAGAATCAATACCGATACTGATACTGGTATTAAAACTAATGCTAAAATTAGAATTAATACCGATACTGATACTGATATTAAAACAAATGCTAAAATTAGAATTAATACTGATACTAATATTAAAAATAATGCTAAAACTAAAATTAATACTGATATTAAAAACTAGATTAAATTTGAATTTGCATTTGAACGTATAATAAGACTACATTGAAAAAGAATAAAACAAAAATTAACTGTAGGGGACTGTAAGGAAAACGATTGTATCCCAACCAATTATTTTTAACCAACCTGTATCCTTCCCTTGTAGTTGTATCCCAACCAATTATCTTTAACCAACCTGTATCCTTTCAGTTTCCTTGTATCCCAACCAATGATTATTAACCAACCTGTATCCTTTCATTGTATCCCAACCAATGATTATTAACCAACCTGTATCCTTCCCTTGTATCCCAACAAATTATTTTTAACCAACCTGTATCTTTTCCTTGTATCCCTGCCAATAATTATTGATCAACCTGTATCTTTTCCTTGAATCCCAATCAATGATAATCAATCAACCTGTATCCTTTCCTTGTATTCCAACAAATGATTATTATCTAACCTGTATCCTTTTCTAGTATCCTGGTCCTGGTAGAGCTGAGGGTTTATCATCCTGTCCCATTCTTCCTCTTTACTCAACTCTACACTGTTCTTGGCCGGTATAGCCGGCAACCCTCGTCCGCCATCCTAGAAAAATCACATCAAAATCTTTTGAAAAATGGTAATGATCTCCCAAATGACTAATTACTACTTTAACACAAGTACTTTGGCAAACAAAATCAAATAAAAAATTACATTAGTCATACTTCCAAACCTCAGATCTTATATGAATTACATATCATATAGCAAATGTAGAGATTGGAATTTTATTTCAGATTCATCACTAAAAAATGGGGTTTCCGCCTGGACCTTTTCGTTGCAGTGACATAGATTTAGAAGGTCCAAGCACACGACCAAATTCAGCGATGTTGCGGGTTGCAACATCAAAAATCAAATCAGATCTTTAGGGACGTGCTTCTTCTACACCCAGGTTCTAATATGACTATACCAAACCAAATCTGAAGTAAGGTTTTATGCAAGGTTACCCGTAAAGAAAAAGACTGTGAAGACTATCTGAAACTTTTAAAATATGACTGCTAAACGGTTAAACTAAGTCTTCTCTCTTGAATATTGTCAATTAATGGCCTAATTAATGACCAGAGAATCATAAACAATCAGTAATGTCGTCCCAGAAGTACTTTGTGGATAACCCTCCCTCTTTTAATCCTCCCTAAACGTCTATTTAATAAAAACGCTAAATGAATAACATTAGAAAACTTAACTTTAGACTCCCTGTGGAAGGGTGAAATATAGAAAGGTAGAAAGATGATAAGGTGGATAGGAAGATAGCCCGGTAGACGGGTATAAAAATATAAGGTAAACAGCTAAAGGCATTGAAAGGTAGATCGGTAGAATGATGGATAGGTAGAAAGGTAGAAAGAAAGAAAGGACTAAATAAAAAAAGATGGTGATGTAGAAAAAAGGAAAGGAAAACATATAAAAAGATGAAAAGGTGGAAAGAAAGAAAAGAAAACACATAAAAAGATGAAAAGGTGGAAAGAAAGAAAGGAATAAATACAAAAGATGGAAAGAAAGAAAGGAATAAATATAAAGGATGGAAAGGTGGAAAGAAAGAAAGTAATAAATATAAAGGATGGAAATATAGAAAGAAAGAAAGGAATAAATATAAAAAGATGGAAAGGTGGAAAGAAAGGAATAAGCATGAAAAGATGGAAAGGTGAAAAGACAAAATAGAAGAAGAAATGGATGTAACTAGAGAAAGGTTTCTATATTGTGCAGTGTATGTAAACTAACCTTCCTAGCTAGACTAGAGAAGTACTGTTCATAAGCTCGTTCCATTTCCCTCTCCACCTCCTCCTTACGCATACCCTGCTGTCTTAGAAACTGATTTACCTGGACAATCAAGCAATCAACCAATCAATCAATCAATCAATCAACAAATCAATCAATCGATCAATCAATCAATCAATTAATAAATCAATAGATCAATAGATCAATAAGTCAATACATCAAACAATCAAACAATCAAATCTTAATGCTCATTTTTTGAAATAGAATTTTGCATATTCTGTTTGAGGATGATATTACCCGTTTCATTTTGGAGGCGTTCATAAACTTCTTTCTCTCATAGTTATCCCTCTCTCTGTCATCCATCATATCCTCCCCAGATTCAGATCGTTTTCGTCTACACAAATAATAACAGTTAGGGACTATGATAAAACTTTTATCTACAAAAACAACAACTGTAAGCTAGGGACTATATTAAACTTTCATCTAGTCAAATAACAACAGTTAGGGACTATGTAAAACTTTTATCTAGACAAACAACAACTATTAGGGACTATATTAAACTTTTATCTAGTCAAATAATAACTGCTACGGACTATATTCAACTTTTATCTAGACAAATAACAATAACTGTAAGCTAGGGACTATATCTAGATAAAGAACAACTGTTAGGGACTATAGTAAACTTTTATCTACACAAATAACAACTGCTAGGAACTATATTAAACTTTTATTTAGACAAATAATTACAGTTAGGGAAAATATTAAACTTTTATCTAGATAAATACTATATTAAACTTGTATCTAGACAAATAACAACTGCTAGGAACTATATTAAGCTTTTATCTAGACAAATAATAACAGTTAGGAACTATATTAAACTTTTATCTACACAAATATTAACAGTTAGGGACTATATTTAACTTTTATCTAGTCAAATAATAACTGCTCGGAACTATATTAAACTTTTATCTAGATAAAGAACAACAACTGTAAGCTAGGGACTATATCTAGATAAAGAACAACTGTTAGGGACTATATTAAACTTTTATCTAGGCAAATATTAACAGTTAGGGACTATATTTAACTTATATCTAGACAAACAATAACTGTTAGGGACTATATTAAACTTTTATCTAGATAAATAACAACTGTTAGGGACTATATTAAACTTTTATCTAGACAAACAATAGCAGTTAGGGACTATATTAAACTTTTATCAAGTCAAATAATAACTGCTAGGAACTATATTAAACTTTTATCTAGATAAAGAACAACAACTGTAAGCTAGGGACTATATTAAACTTTTATCTAGATAAACAACAACTGTAAAGGACTATATTAAACTTTTATCTAGACAAATAATAGCAGTTAGGCACTATATTAAACTTTTATCTAGATAAATAATAACAGTTAGGGACTATATTAAACTTTTATCTAGATAAAAAATAACATTTAGGGACTATATTAAACTTTTATCTAGACAAATAATAGCAGTTAGGGACTATATTAAACTTTTATCTAGCTAAATAATAACAGTTAGGGACTATATTAAACTTTTATCTAGATAAATAATAACAGTTAGGGACTATATTAAACTTTTATCTAAAGTCCCTAACTCCGTAGTATCCTGTAGGGGTTCTTTCCCTCTCTCTATCCCTTGAACTCCTTCCACCACCTCGACCAGACCTTTCCCTGCAGTACAATAACAATAACAATAACAATAACAATAACAATAACAATAACAATAACAATAACAATAACAATAACAACAACAATAACAATAACAATAAAATACTAAAAATAGTTAAAACAAGATCAAACCCCCAAGAACCAAAAGAAATTGATTCGTACAATTAAATAGTTCTCTTGCTGTTAGGTAAAACGACATTTGTGACCTGTTTCTGAGACTAATGAAAGGCATAAACCTGAACAAATAAATATTAAGACCAACCTGTCATACTTTTCATGTTCCCACAGATCTGCCTTCTTCTCATCTCTGAAATTTACATTTTAAAGTCGATTTCAGGGCAGGTAAGTTATAATAAAGCTCAAGCTAGTTAAAGTTAAAGCTACCTATCTGGACTTCTTTTCTTAGCAATCCTTTCAGCCATCTTAATCTGTTTATCAAGTTCTCTTTTCCTTCTCTCATCCCTGAAATTATTAATACTATCATTATCATTATTACTGTCATCATCATTACCCTGCACGAGCAATGTGTAGGATATATATGAGGATCCACTGACCCAGATCCAAGGGGCAAAATATAAACTAAAATATCTAAAACCAACATTAAAACAATCATAATCAATGAATGGTAATTTAAGTTTTTTTGGTTTAGAAAAATGTATCGCCACAGAAAAAGTTTCAAAAGCTGGATTTATTTTCAATAGGACAGACCCAAACAGAAATAGATCAGGAAGTACTGCAGCGTTAGTGTGACAAGGAGAAGGGGCAATTATAATCCCTTGAAGACCCTAATATGCCCTTTCCTGGAATTGAACCCCTATATGTGCATTTTCATCAAAAATATTTGATCTAAATCTTGTCAAAATAAAAATTACAAAGTGGCCGTAACAAAAAAACATGATGAGGCATAGAAAGAAAATATTTATAAATATTTACACCTGGATATAAGTGAAATTGTTAGTGTTTCAATGACAAGTTGATTTTGAAAATTAAACGAAAATAGTTCCGTTCCGTCAGTATCAAAAAGCCCAACTGTAAAGTTTTTTTTTCTGGGACACCATTTCTGGGACATATTCTCGAAAAGATGAAAGAATGAATTTTGATTGTCAATTTAACAACTATCAACCTAATATGATTCGAAGTGAAGAAAATCAGATGATCTTCAGTTTGACGACCTTTCTAAGGTAATTTTCATTCAAGCTTTTTTATTGAGTCAAAATCGAAAAAAAAATTATTTCGGCACAAAAAACCTAAAAATCCGTACAATTTTTTGGTAAAAATAAATCTGTACATTTGGCCACCCTGTGTACGTGATGTATGTTCCTGAATGTTAATTATTTGTTTAATCTTTGAAAAACTTAATAAACATAATTGATGAAAAAACTAAATTTCAAATGTTCTGGTAAATACCTTAATTTTCTGTCTTCTTTTTCTCGTTTAGCTTTCTTTTCCTTCTTGTCTTTTTTGTCCTTTTTGTCCTTCTTCCTTTTCCGAGACCTCTTATCATCCTCGCTTTCATCATCCGTGGATGTGAGACGTAATTCCTCTTCACTGTCTATTTCGCTTTCAACATCCTGGAGGGGAAATTATTAGGAAAAGTAAAGAATTTTAAAGGATAAGTCAATTTCTAAATTTTTTTTATTTATCCATATTAAAAATGTTGGAAAGCTTAAAATAATGACGACTTCTTAAATCCCATGTTTAACATGACAAGAAAACCAGAATTGGTTGGTTTTAACTTTTTAAAGTCCGACTCTTTGTATTTTTTTCCGGTAAATTTATGAATGTCAGATAAATCGTTAATTTTAAATGAAAAAAAAAATTCTTTTTATGAAGTAACAGCATTATAAAAAAGGAAGAAGATTTCAAAATATGGATATCCCTAATCCCATTACGTTCATAATAGACCATAATTCTTTAGTTTAAGTATGCGCTCTTCTTTCAGGGCCTCACATTTTTTATGTTACAATAACTAGGGTATTAGAGATTGCCCAGTGTTTTAAAGTTTTTAATTTTACACATTCTATTTTTCAATTGTTCTTAAATAATGAAAAATTAACAGATTTTCTTGAATAAAAAAAATGAAATGATAGTCTTAGGTTTCTGTTTAGGCTAAAATTTTGGATAATCAATAATGATTTTTGAGCTAGAGCAATCTAAAATAAAATTGTCATTTTTAAAAATAAATAGAAGAAAGCTATGATGCCGACATATTTTATTTGAACTTTGTTCAGTCGAAAAAATTATCTATTTTTTTATACATTCCACAGCTCGCATTTTTATCAAAAATATTTGATCTAAATCTGGACAAATAAAATTACTAAGTGGTTGTAACAAAAAAAATTTGAAACATAGAAAGAAAAAATTTACACCTGGAATTAACTGAAATGTTTAGCTTTTCAATTATTTAGCGTTATTGTGAAAAAAACAAACAATTTAATTGTTCCCGCAGTACCAAAAACCCCCACTGCAAAGTTTTTTTTGTATTTCTGAAACATATTCTCGAATAAACACGTTTGGAAAATAAGCTTTTTGTGCAGTCAAAATCGAAAAAAATAATGTTTTCCGGGCCAAAAATACTGAAAATCCGTACAATTTGAGACTTCATCCGTACAGTCCGTACAATTTTTTGGTAAAAATTAAAAAAAATCCGTTTAATTCGTACATTTTGGCCACCCTGTATATTTTATCTAATAAGATTACAAGATTACTCTGTTGAAAAATAAATAATATGCCCAAAAATTTGCATACTCTGAATTCTCGAATTAATTAGTCCAGTAAATTTAAGTAATATTGAAGAATGTGAAATGTTAAAATATTTTAACGTGACACTGTTCAATATGAAAGCTAAATTTGATCAACACGTTGAGTTAGATCTTACAAATTTAAAATATTTTGTTAAAGTTCTCTTTTTCTTTTGTTAATTAATTAATTATCAGGATATCAATTAAAGATAAGACTTTAACTTTAAAGGGAGTGTTCACGAAAAATGAAAGGGGGGTAAAGGCTTACGTCGAAAAAGCTTATGCCCCTCTTCTTTTTACACGAACACTTCCTTTAATAACGACCTAAAGCTCTAAAATTATTAAGACCTGAAGGCTGAATTTTTTCCTTTGCCTTAAAAGTAGTTTTTAAATGATTTAAGTGATTTTACAAAACAGGAAACAATTCTCAAGTTGCAGGAAACCAAGAATGGAAGTATTATAAGACTAAATAAATGCAGTCAGTCTCCTTTCTTATGGATAACCCGACCCCTTTTTTGTAGGAAAAAAAATCACTAAGTTGTAACAGTCAAATTTCGGACCACATAATATCCCCCCCCCCCTCTGACAATATACTCAAGTTGCGCCGCCGCTGAGAATCCTAAAAAAGGCTGTAGTCGTAACTTTCAGTGATCTATATATGTGAGCGGCAAATTCGATTCAAACGCTGCCCATAAACTTTGTATCAACAAAAATGAATGAGAAATGAATTTTTTCTTTGAAAATTGATCATACGACGATATCTTCCACAATGTCAAATTAAGATTTAAAAATCATTCTTAAAATGTTCACACTTTGCTTGTTACCTCATCACTGCCGACATCCGAGAGTTCATCATCAGATATCTTCTCGAGCTTATGGAGCTTAATCTTCTTCTTGGATCCAGCACGTGAATTATCAGACTCACTGTCTGACACATTTTCAAATCCTAAATCAAAAGGTTTAGAATTCAGGGGGTTATATGCTACATTTAATTTTTTTATGACAAACAGTTTTTAGTCGTTTCTGAAAGCACTTTTGGGAACAAAACCCCAACAGATAAACAAATGACATATTTTTGAGTAACATCTGTCAGTTAAAACTCTATGGCAAAACTAAGGTTTCTGACTCATGTCATAATAAGCTACTTTTTAGCGTGTTTTCGTTTCAACAATATCTTCTTTGCGCATAATGACAAACCATATTAAGACTTTGCATATTTTACTATTTTCATTGAATAAAAAAATTTTTTTTTGTGGAAGCGGGGGGGGGGGTTATATTCGACCGGCCTTTTGAATGGCTATGCTAGGTTTATTGGGTACTAACTAACAGACAGACAAGCTAAATATATATAGATTTTAAAATTAGAAAGTTAGTGCGATGTTGAAGAAGGAAAAGGTGTCAAAATATCAAGAAAAACAAAAACATTCATTTGCAAAAACACAGCACAGTAAAGTACACACTACACAGTATGTTTCAGAACACAGCACAATGAAGTACACAGCATGGTACAAGACATGGCACAGTAAAATACACAGTATGGTACAGAACACAGCACAGTAAAGTACACACTACACAGTATGTTACAGAACACAGCACAGTAAAATACACAGCATGGTACAGAACACAGCACAGTAAAATACACAGTATGTTACAGAACACAGCACAGTAAAATACACAGCATGATACAGAACACAGCACAGTAAAATACACAGCATGGTACAGAACACAGCACAGTAAAATACACAGCATGATACAGAACACAGCACAGTAGAATACACAGTATGGTACAGAACACAGCACAGTAGAATACACAGTATGGTACAGAACACAGCACAGTAAAATACACATTATGTTACAGAACACAGCATTGTAGAATACACAGTATGGTACAGAACACAGCACAGTAAAATACACAGTATGTTACAGAACACAGAACAGTAGAATACACAGTATGGTACAAAACACAGTACAGTAGAATACACAATATGATACAGAACACAGCACAATAAAATACATAGTATGAGACAGAGCTCAACACAGTAGAATACAGTATAGTACGGAACACATCAAAGTAGAATACACAGTATGATACAGAACACAACACAGGAGAATACAGTATGATACAGAACACAGCAAAGTAGAATATAGTACGAGACAGAACACAAAAAAGTAAAATAAACAGTATGAGACAGAACACAAAACAGTAAAATAAACAGCACAAAAAAATAAACAGTACGGTACAGAACATAGCACACCAGGATGCAAAAGAATTAGTAACATTTTGCATGGCAATCACTCTCCTGTACAACACTTGCCTTTTTAAATATTTTTTTTAAATGAGTGTCTGGCTGGACATGACAGGCCTGGCGCGCGTAAAAAAGTCCTAAATGTCTCAATGATTTCTAAAAAATTTCTGTACAATACTGCATTCTCAGCTCAACTACAGTGTCTAGCCAGACACTCCCTTTATGTGTGTTGGATTACCTTCATTCCTTGTTCTTTTAATCATAGTTTTCTGAGTATCCAGATCCCCCTCAACCTTTTTCTTAAGCTTCATCACCAACTTGTCCCTGTACTCCTTCTCCCTACTCTTTAACTTCTCCTCATCGTCCTCTGAATATTAGAGGTCAATATTAAAAAACATAAGATTCCATGAAGATTGGGG